TGTTTTCCTCTATTTCTTTGCATTGATCGCTGAGGAAGGCTTTCTTATCTCTCCTGGCTATTCTTTGGTACTCTGCATTCAAATGGGAATATCTTTCCTTTTCTCCTTTGCTTTTAGCTTCTCTTCATTTCACAGCTATTTGTAAGGCCTCCTCAGACAACCGTTTTGCCTTTTTGCATTTCTTTTCCATAGGGATGGTCTTGATCCCTGTCTCCTGTACAATGTCCCAAACCTCCGTCCATAGTTCATCAGGCTCTCTGTCTATCAGAACTAGTCCGTTAAATCTATTTCTCACTTCCACTGTATATTCATAAGGGATTTGATTTAGGTCATACCTGAATGGTCTAGTGGTTATCCCTACTTTCTTCAGTTTAAGTCTGAATTTGGCAATAAGGAGTTCATGATCTGAGCCATAGTCATGTCCCTTTACCCTCCCCTATTTATAATTGTCTTAAAATTTTTCTCAGCACACATTTAGAACCACATCAAACAGTGCTATAACTTTGCTTCATCCATTATACAGAATTTAGGAAACTCAGAAGTGGAAAAAGTGAAAGTGAAAGTTGCTCAGTCATTTCTGACTCTTTATGAGGCGCCCACCCGGCTCCTCTGTACATGGAATTCTCCAGGCAAGGATACTGGAGTGGGTTGCCATGCCCTTCTCCTGGGGATCTTTCCAACCCAGGGATTGAACCTGGGTCTCCTGTACTGCAGGCAGATTCTTTAGCATCTGAGCCACCAAGAGAAGCCCCTCAAAAGGAGAAGGAAAATGTATTTATCCAGATTTTTACTCTTTCTCTACTTCCTTCCTTCCTGATGTTCCAGTGTGCCTTTTTAAATCTTTCCTATGTGTATAGAGTTTCCTTTAGCCATTCTTTTAGAGTACTTCTGCGAGTGGCAAATTCTTTTGATTTTTCTTCATCTGAGAACGTCTTGATTTCCTCTTCATTCCTGAAGAATATTTTCCCTGGGTATAGAATTCTGGATCAGCACTTCTTTTCTGTTTCAGCATTTCAAAAATGTTATGCAAATTCCTTCTTGATCTCTGTGATTTCTGATGAGAAGCCTGCTGTCATTTGAATTGTCTTTCCCTAGTGTTTCTCTCCTGTTCCTTTCAAGTTTCTGTTGTCTTCGTTTTTCAGAAATTTGACTTTGATGCATTTTGGTATGGATTTCTTTAGGTTTATCTTGTTTGGAGCTCACTCAGCTTCTTGAATCTCAGCTTATGTCTGGGAAAGGCTGTAGCCATTATTTCTCTATGTACGTTTTCAGCCCTACCTATTCTCTCTTTCCAAGATCCAATAACAAAAGCATTAGATCTTTTGCTATAGTCTCACAGTTTCCAGAGGCACTTTTTTTTTTCCTTTTCCTCCCAGTCTATTTTCTCTCTGTTTTTCAGATTGGGTAATTTGTATTGTTCTGTTTTCAAGCTCACTGATTCTTTTCTCTACCTCCTCCATTCTGCTATAGATTCTATCCAATGAGTTTTTAATTTTTGGCTATTGTATTTCTCAGTTTTAAATTTCCATTTTGTTTTTTTCCTATATCTTCTATTTCTTTACTGAGACTTTCTAGTTCTGTTCACACTTTCTACCTTTTCATTTGTTTCAAATGTTTCATAATTGCTGTTTGGATTATTTTATGAGGTCTGATTTAAAATATTTGTTAAATAATCCTGATATCTTGGTTTGTCATCTATTGTTGCCTTGTCTCATTCAAGTTGAGATTTCTGGTTCTTGGTATGATGAATAATTTTAGAATGAAATCTGAATATTTGGGGTATTATATTATAAAACTCTACATCTTGTTTTATTTAACCTTCTGTTTAGCTGGTTTCTTCTGATGCCACTCTGGGGCAGGTGACATGGAGAAGTATATTGTCTCATTACTACCCCAGGTTACAGTAGAAGTCTAGGTTCCCCACTCAGCCTCTATGAACACCCAAGGAAAGAAGGACTCCTCATTACTGCTGGTGATGGTAGAAATTACTGCTCCTCACTAGGCCTGTACTTGTACTGCAGTGACCGTGATGGGAGGGATGTCTTATTAATGCTCTCTACTTTGGCCCCCATGATATCATGAGCAGGGCAGTGGTGAAAGTCCTAACCCTCAACTAGGCCTCCTCTGAAACTACCCCAATAGACAGAAAAGTACCTCCTTACTTCCAGGTATGGGTGGAAGTCCCATATTCCCCATGTCTAGTACTACCTGGAAGGGATGAAAACCCCTGCTTCCCACTGGCTTCTGACACTATCCCCAGCAGAGGAGTTGAGGTACCTTCTTATACCTGGTGAAGGTAGAAATTTGGGCTCCCATCTTGACCTTTGCTGACATGAGTGAGGTAAACCACAGGTTTTTGTTTGTTTGTTTTATGACATTTGGCTGGGGTAAAGTGGATAATGTCCAAAAGTTTTCTTTCTTGCTTGCATGTCCGTTTCCTGGCCCTCTGTACAGAGTAAAAAGCCTTTCATCTATGCTTCTTGGTGTTGTCTGGGTTGCCAGCTTCTTCAGCACTAAGTCTTGAATATACACAGCTACAATAAAACCCAGGAAACTCATAGACATGTCATTCTTCAAGTCCTGAGTTCCCTAGCTGATTCTACTTCTTCCTACTTTTCAGAGTCTTCTTATATTTGTTTTATATCTAATGTCCAGAGTTTTTAGTTGTACTTGTTGGGAAAAATAGGGAAAAGTATGTCTACTTTATCTTCCTGAATGCAGAAGTTAGTCTTTCCGTTTTTAAAAAATATTAGGTATATGTTTGCATTTTCCCAGTCTTCAGCTTCCTTTGAGAGTAAGAAAAAGAAAAGAGTTTACAGAGGATGGAAGGAATCATTATTTTATCAGAAATTTATTTTTAAAACATTTTACTCTTTATCTCATGTTTTTAATCATTTGAATATATTATCTTTTAAAAAACTGCTGAGTTCAAGGTAATTATTTAATTCTTTTACATACAATATTAAATGAATTTTAAAAGGGAAAAAAACTCCATAGATACAATTTTTCCTGTGTTCTTTTCCAGTTTTTTCTGAATATACCTTTCCCATATGTATGATGTTTACACACAATACATATATATTATTTATTGTTCCACCATTTTACTTTAATAAGTATTTAATGTTGATGAATAGTCTACATACCACTTTCAAGTTGGTTTATCTTTAATCATCTTAGCCATTTCTGTGTCTCCACTTAATCCCTGTTTTAAATACTGTGGTCATGAGCATTATTATATATTCAGCTTTTTTCTTCTTGCCAACTATTTTATACCAGTAAATTCAATGGAATGCCGTTATTCAGTCAAAAGATCTGAACATGTTTATGGCTCTTGATCTGCATTGCCAAATTGCCTTCTTAGAGAATTTGAGCACCAGCTATAACTTGTAAAGCATCTTGTGCTAGACCCCGAGGTACTGGAAACAAATTTAAGATTAATGGAATAAAAACAAAATGGACTTGTTTGTGTTCACTTTTCATTCACACTCTCTAACCATGAAAGATATGTTCCCTCCCTTGGCTTCAGTGGCTCATAGCCTTTTGGTTTTCCTCCTGCTACTCTGTCTTCTGAGCTTTCTCTTCAGGCCCGTTTCCTCTGTTTGTTCCTCATAAGTCTTTAGGCTTCTATCTAGATTGATCCTCTTCCTCTTACTTTCCCCCTTCTCCCTGGCTCATTTAATCCCAGGGTTTCTGCTCACATTCCTCTGTATCTGTATCTTCACCCCAAGCATCTCTCCAGTGTATACCTACATTCTGTCTTCTTGGGCTACCATCCACTTGCTCATTTGTTCCTGTCAGAAATCCAGATGTCACTCATTGTTCCCTTTTCTCCCTCACCTGCCACACTCAATAAATGACAGATCTTATTAATATCATCTTCTAAATATCTCTTTAAGACCCATTCTGCCTTTTCATCCTCACCATCCTATTCTAGTCACTGTTGGTTAGTAGGCAGATCACAACAATCTCTCAACTGACTTCCCTGACACACAGATTCCAAATAATCTTCCTAAAGGACACTCTCTCTTTTTCCTCTGGGCTTTTAACTATCTTATTTATGAAGTCTTCCAACATCCCCTGTCTTCAACATATATATACACACAGGCAAGTATGCACACACCCCTACCTTTACATCTGCCTAGCCTGTACCAGCTAATCCATCAGGCCTCCAATTACTTATTACTAGCTTAATATAGGAGAAGGCAATGGCAACTCAGTCCAGTACTCTTGTCTGGAAAATCCCATGGATGGAGGAGCCTGGTAGGCTGCAGTCCATGGGGTCGCTAAGAGTTGGACACGATTGAGCGACTTCACTTTCACTTTTCACTTTCATGCATTGGAGAAGGAAATGGCAACCCACTCCAGTGTTCTTGCCTGGAGAATCNATTGGAGAAGGAAATGGCAACCCACTCCAGTGTTCTTGCCTGGAGAATCCCAGGGACAGCGGAGCCTGGTGGGCTGCCGTCTCTGGGGTCGCACAGAGTTGGACACAACTGACGTGACTTAGCAGCAGCAGCAGCTTAATATAATCACTTGTTAACTTGTCCTTATTTCTCACTAAACTGTAAGCTCCTTAGGGACAGGATTTTGTCCTATTGTAGCCCTAATGCCTGCCAAAGTGCCTGGTGCTTATTGAGTGATTAAAAAAAAAAAATCTTTATAAGCTATATCTGCCCAGTGCCATACTAAAAGTTGAAAAAGTGAAAAATTCACTAAACTGGTTATTTGTCTATACCTGTAGACAAAAACCTATGATGGGTCGTTTCCCTGAATATGAGTAAAAAGGATATGACTGATTTGTTTTTAAAGTGTATTTCCAAGCATAAGGCAACTGCTCCGCTGTAGAATTCAGGTCAAAATCTTGCTTGCAGCACTTTCTTCACTGGTACATATTTTTCCTCCATATTCTGCTACTATAAGGAGCATTTTGATAGTTTTTTTATTATTATATTTGTGCTAAGTCCCGAACTAGGAGAAAATATGCAGAAGGAAGTTCCAGAGAAGGCAGTAAAGGAGGGCACTTTTCCAAGAGAGGGACAGAAGGAGGAGGACTCACAGCAGAACCAAGAAATGACAAATGAAGAACAGCAGTTGACCTTGCAGCCTGAGGAAGTTATGAGGCTCAGAGAAGAGCTGAGCCTTATGAATCAGAGCCTTCTTCAGTCTCAGAGCTCTGGGGATACCTCAGAAGACAGTAGTGCCCAGGTAGGTGTGATAAACATGAGGTCTGACTGGCTCCATTTCCTCTGATCAGCTGTGGATAGAGGTTTAATTTTTAATATCACTGTTAGCACATATCTGTTGAACAATATCATAACCATGCCCCGAATGTTAATAAAGTAGCAATCAAAATCTCAGCTGAGCCCATTCATTGATGCATTTTATTATAAAGGGTTCTTAGGCTCCACCAATTCTCAGCAGGAAAGAATGCTGATTAATTGTCATTGTCGGCACTAGGCAAGTGGAATAGGGGACAGCAGGATTTATTTATGCCACATTTTGTGTTCCTGGTACCTAGCTTGATACACAAAATACATTGTTTTGGTGGGGGAAAGGCCACAGACTTGAAATTCTTTGAAATATGGCCATAGCTTTTTAAAGAGGAGAGTGAAAAAGCTGGCTTAAAACTCAACATTCAAAAAACTAAGATCATGGCATCCAGTCCCATCACTTATGGCAAATAAATGGGGAAACAATGAAAACAGTTACTAGACTATCTTCTTAGGCTCCAAAGTCATTGTGGGCGATGACTGCAGCCCTGAAATCAAAAGATGCTTGCTTCTTGGAAGAAAACCTAGACAAACCTAGACAGTGTATTAAAAAGCAGAGATATCACTTTGCCAACAAAGGTCCATATAGCCAAAGCTATGGTTTTTCCAGTAGTCACACACAGATGTGAGAGTTAGGCCATAAAGAAGGCTGAGTGCCAAAGAATTGATGCTTTCGAACTGTGGTGCTAGAGAAGACTCTTGAGAGTCCTTTGAACAGCAAGGAGACCAAACCAGTAAATCCTAAAGGAAACCAACCCTGAATATTCATTGGAAAGACTGATGCTGAAGCTGAAGTTCCAATAATTGGCTGCCTGATATGAAGAACCAACTCATTGGAAAAGACCTTATGCTGGGAAAGATTGAGGGCAGGAGGAGAAGGGGATGACAGAGGATGAGATGGTTGGATGGCATCACTGACTCAGTGGACATGAATTTGAGCAGACTCTGGGAGATAGTGAAGGACAGGGAAGCCTGGAATGCTGCAGTCCATGGGGTTGCAAAGAGTCGGACATGATTGAGCAATGGAACAATAAACAATTGCTATTTATTAACAGTCTGCTTGCAGGAGAAATAAAAGGAGTGACTATATCTCAATTTTTTTACCTCAGTTCTACTGATTCTCTCGTACAAATTAAAATTTCCCTACACACACCTTTCTAGGAATTATTTTGAGATCCACAGGAGTATCTCAAAACTAAACCAACTCATAAGTAAACCAACTTCAAAAAACTGATAATATACACTTGAGGAGTGATTCAGTATACATTTAGAAAACAAGAAAGAAAGAAAGTGAAAGTAAGAAAGTGAAGTCTCTCAGTTGTGTCCAACTCTTTGTGACCCCATGGACTGTAGGCTCCTCTGTCCATGGGATTTCCCGGGCAAGAATACTGGAGTGGGTTGCCGTTTCCTTTTCGAGGAGATCTTCCCACCCAAGGGCTTGAACCTGGGTCTCCCACTTTGTAGACAGACGCTTTACTGCCTGAGCCACCAGGGACGTCCAAGAAAACGAGCGTGTTAATAAAAGAAGTCAAAAGCATACTTGAAAAGAGGTTTGGCAATAGAGTGAAAAACAGTCAAGTCATCGTAAACCAGGGAAATATATACTGCAAAGGAGACTCAGATACATTTGAATGAGAAGGAAGTCACTGGATTTGTTCAGAAGACCACAAGGAAGTATGACATCACATAGTCAAAAAGAAGTTGAATTTTCATACCCAGACAATCCTTTTATTGGACAGTGGACCAGTGTAGGAGGCCTGAGTGGAGGCTGAACACTGTGGTCACAAAGATGATTAAAGTTTACTTATGAGCTTAAAATGATCAGTGAACTTTTAGAATAATAAAATCTAGAATATGAGAACTAATACCTTGGTTAATTTATTCAGTTCAGTTCAGTTGTGTCTGACTCTTTGCGACTCCGTGGACTGCAGCACACCAGGCTTCCCTGTCCATCACCAACTCCCAGAGCTTGCTCAGACTCATGTCCATTGAGTAGGTGAGGCCATCCAACCATCTTATCCTCTGTCGCCCCCTTCTCCTCCCGCCTTTAGTCTTTCCCAGCATCAGGGTCTTTTCCAAGGAGTCAGTTTTTCGCATCAGATGGCCAAAGTATTGGAGTTTCAGCTTCAGCATCAGTCCTTCCAATGAATATTCATGATTGATTTCCTTTAGGAGTCATTGGTTGGATCTCCTTGCAGTCCAAGGAACTCTCAAGAGTCTTCTCCAACACCACAGTTCAAAAGCATCAATTCTTCAGGGCTCAGCCTTCTTTATGGTCCAACTCTCACATCCTTACCTGACTACTGGAAAAACTATAGCTTTGACTAGATGGACCTTTGTCAGTAAAGTAATGTCTCTGCTTTTTAATAACGCTGTCTAGGTTTGTCATAGCTTTTCCTCCAAGGAGCAAGTGTCTCTTAATTTCATGGCTGCAGTCATCATCTGCAGTGATTTTGGGGCCCCCCAAAAAATAAAGTCTGTCACTGTTTCCATTGTTTCCCCATCTATTTGCCATGAAGTTTAATTTATTAATTTTCTCTAATTTACCCTTTCCCATTACTTGAAGAATGTTTTCTCAATACTTGGTGGGGGTGTGTGTGAAAAACTATTAAATGTATAAGAATTCTATGAGAAATCTGGGGAAATAGCCATTTTGTGAATGAAGAAATCTATATACCATATAGCCACAGAAACAGTAATTTTCTTCCATAACAGTGAATCTGGTATTGAAAGAAGTGCAAGTTTTTCTTATTCATTTATTCAACCAGAATTAACTGAGTATCTGTGATGTGTCAGGCCCCATGTTAAGGTACATACAATAGTAAATGAGGTGGATATGGGCCTCATGGGAAAAAAATAGCATATTTGTGTTTTAAGATTCATATTTCCCAAAACATTAACACACATAATACTTTATTTACTTCTTTAAGCAAGCAAGGAAGAAAATACGTTTTTAATACTTACCATTTTTAAAATTATTTTTGTTTGTTTGTTTGCCTACACTGGTCTTCATTGCAGCATGCAGCCTCTCTAGTTGCAATATGTGGAATCTTAGTTCCTCAACCAGGGATCGAACCTGGGCCCCCTGTATTGGGAGCATGGAGTCTTATCCACTGAACTACCGGTAAAGTCCCAGAAAATATATTTTAGTCAGATTTTTGTCTACAGTGCACTGTGCAGTGATAATTTCAGAACCTCTTTCTGTGTATATAGCTCTTTGATCATATGATAGCTATAGATTGTTCTACTTTTTAGTTCTTGTGTGTGTGTGTGTGTGTGTGTGTGTGTGTGTGTGTGTGGTTTTTAGACTTCACTGATGTTGCAAGATTATGGTGCTGGTACCTTGCTACTTTCCATGTGTGCTGCAGTTTATTAATCTCATAACATGTAAATTTAGGTAGCTATAAACACCTAAACTTTAAAGAATGCTTATAAATGGCAAATACACAGTAAAAAAATTGTGAGCGTTTCTATTATGAGTAAGTATGTGAGCTATATTGCTCATATGTCTTTTGTGACATCATTTGTGGCTGCTAATGACCTTTAGGGCTTAATTTCTGTTGTTCAACAGTATTCCAGGTGAGGTTGCAATAGCTGAGTTCTAGATATTACTTTCCCACTATTCTTGAAACACATTTGAACCACTGTTAATTGTCTTAATTTTGTAGATTTAATATGTAATTTAGCATTTTTCACTATGCCCTAGGCACTGTACTTAATACTCTGTGTGTATTAAGCAATACAATGAGGCAGGAATATTATTGTTGCCACTTTATAAATGAAGAAACTGAGGCTTTAGAGAGGTTAAATAATTGGCCTAGTATGACACTTTGTGGTGGAACCTGGGTCTGTCTCCATTACAGCCTGACCTTTTAACTGTTTTGTCATCTGCTTCCTCTTGGTGACAGACTCACAGAAAGCATATAGTTCTCACATTGAGCTAATTTTCTAAGGAAGGCTAGCAAGCTGGCTCCCAAAAGCCTTCCCAAGGTGTCTGTCTTAGATTGAAAATAAAAGTGTTAGTCACTCAGTCATGTCTGAATCTTTTTGATCCCATGGACTGTAGCCTATCAGGCTCCTCTGTCCATGGAATTTTTCAGGCAATAATATTGTAGTGAAAAAAAAAAAAAAGAATACTGGAGTGGTTAGCCATTCCCTTTTCCAGGGGAACTTCCCGACCCAGAGTTCGACCCAGGTCTCCTGCATTGCCGGCAGACTCTTTACCATCTGAGCCACCAAGGAAACCCCTCTCTTAGATTATTGTGGTGAATCTATCTGGAATTGACCCTTAGGCTTGCCCTCCTCAAAACTTTAATGTAATAGCTCCCCTAGAATAGATCTGAGTCGTGGGGATACATTTACATTAAACCAAATCTTCTAGACTACTAGATAAAATTAGAATGTCCATCAGTTATTCTTCTGTAACAGTGAATAAATATCACTTGACCATGTTTAGATAACAGTGCATTTATCCATAGCAAGCCAACTAGGGATCTTAGACACCTGCAGCTCTACAAGTTGGATCCAGATTGCCTTTTTGACTAACCCAAGACCAGAACCAAAAGGCTAACAAGGACTTGGGGAATTCACTGTGGCAATTCTGTTATAGCAAGATAAACTAGAATAATGATGTGACCTTATCAGAAAGTCTTGAACAGGAAACACACTGGACCAGGACTCAGGAAACAGATAGTATCTTATCAATTGAACTGAATAAGGTCAAATTCTTGATCTACTCAGCACGCCTATATGTGCCTACCTTTTAGAAAATCTAAATAATTCCTCCTTTGGTCACAAGTTTTATTGTGCCAGAGAGGCCTGGCAGGAGAGTGTGTTGTTCAAAAGTAACTGAAAGGGAATCATCATGGAGTAAAAGGAAAGCGATAAGGAAGCCTAGGAATTTAGTATCTCTTGCTAAATATCCTCTTTCCCTTTACCAACAGACACTGCACACAAGCAAATGTGTGCACATGCACATGCACACACGCACATAGCTTCCACACACACAGTATTCACACTCCTTCATATATTGATGGTGTGAACTCCCTGTATTTTTAAATTTCATTTCTTTCTTTATTTTTGACTGTGTTGGATCTTCGTCGCTGTGAGGGCTTCTCTAGGTCGTGGCAAGTAGGGGACACACTCCGTGGTGTGCGGGTTCCTCATGCAGTGGCTTCTCTTGCTGAGGAACACGGGCTCTAGGCTGTGTGGGCTTCAGTAGTCGTGGCCTCCGGGTTCTAGAGCACAGGCTCAACAGCTGCTCCGGGCATGTGGGATCTTCTCAAATCAGAGGCTGAACCTGTGTCTCCTGCAGTGGCAGGCAGATTCCTTACTTCTGAGCCACCAGGGAAGCCCTGTACTCCCTGTTTAAAGCATGTTTTGCTCTAAAACTGTCCACACTTCTGTTCCCCTTCATTAATGTGAAAAATAAGAAACTTAATTTTCTATTCTTAATTGCTTTTGTTCATATAACTTCTTCAGTATTTTCACTCTGAGTTAAATTATATGAATGTGTACAACTAGCCACACATGTAAAAGGAATAATTGGTTACAGTGAAGCTAACTCCAAAAACATTTAGTGTGACTAATCCCATTCTGACAGCTGGAACCCATGTTTTACCAACATTCTTTCAAATTGTCCATGTTTCCTTGGTAAAATGTTTCTTTTAGTATCCACCATCTGGAGAAAAACTGAAATACCAGCAAGAGGAGGTACAACAACTTCACCAGAATTTGCACCGGCTCCAGACTCTATGCAGTTCAGCAGAAAAAGAGCTTCGATATGAGCGAGGAAAGAACTACGACTTAAAGCAACATAATAGCATACTTCAGGAAGAAAGCATTAAGGTAATTCAAGTGGGGGATCCTTCATTTAAGGGTCTCAATTGCTTGAAGGAATCTAACTTCTGCAACTTGGTAATTCATGATTGAGTCCCCAGATGGGTAGACAGCATCAGCTATCTGGTAACGCCATCCTTCAACTTCTCTTTACCAAGTAGATGCACACTTCAGTTGTTTCTCTGCTGCTGAAAGGTTGTGTGTGCTGTAAATGTGAAAAACTTTTAAGTTTTTTGAAATCATTACCTAGGACATTTAGCACTTAATCATTTCGATGACCTGAACCAAATCTCTGGTAGTACTTCCCTGGTTCTCTCTCTAGACATATTTATTCCTAGTAGGTGCATTCATTTTTTAAAAGATTATTTTTATGTGGACCATTTAAAATGTCTGTATTGAATTTGTTACAGTATTGCTTCTGTTTTACATTTGGTTTTTTGGCCCCAAGGCATGTAGGATCTTTGCTCCTCCACCAGAGATCGAACCTGTACTCTCTGCATTGGAAGGCAAAGTCTTAACCACTGGACCTACAGGGAAGTCCCTAGGTGCATTCATTATTATTGGTTGAATCAAATATCAACTGCCCCAAGGTACAAACCGTGAGAGAGCAAAGTTGTTCTTCTTGACATGAGTGTATCAAAAAGTTAGAGGAACATCCCCCAAACTTGCTTATTTTACAGTGATCTGTATAGAACTGCCACCCACAGATTCATCTAAATTTTATGAACTACAAAATGTTCAGACTGAACCACCATGTAAAATGGTATTTTCTTTTAATTGTGGTTCAATTCTGTAAACATATATTAGGGACCTAGTTTCTGTAAGCCCCTATTTAAGATTCTGGAGTTCAACATTCAACAAATATTTATTGAGCATCAGTCTTAACACAAGGCAGGCCATCTCGTCAATACTGAGGATTTAATGATAGGCAAAATTGACACAATTCTTATCCCCTGGTGCAGGGGTCAGCAAACTTTGGCCTATAGGTAAATTCCATAGGCAGGATTTGACTTTCCTTTTATTTCTGTAAATAAAGTTTTATTGGCACACAGCATACCTGTTCTTTCACATATTATTGATGGCTGCCTTTGCACTACAACAGCAAATATGAGTAGTTCTGACAAGAGACCATGTGGCCCACAGAGGCTAAAATATTTACTGTCTGGCTCTTTATCTAAAAAGCTTGCCACCCCTCATGTGGCAGGATCAATGACCTTATTTAAAAAGTGACATAAAAATGGATTAAGAAAGGTTCCTACTTTTTAGGAGCTCACAGTCTAGTAGGGGTCATATAGAGGAAAACAGTTATTTGTCTCAAACTTCTAGAAAAGCCCTTCTAGAGAGGTCTAGAATTCCAGGATTGTTTAGATACACTTCTTCCCTATCCTCTTCATTCACAGTTTTTAGAACACTAAATATCATATTCTCTCAAGCCTTTGTAGTTTGAAATAAAATTCCAAATCTTTCTCACATTTCAAGACAGCCTTTTACCTTTCCCTTCAAACACCTCTCTTAGATCATTTTAATTGTCCACTCTGACTACATCTTTGTCAAGGTACAATGACCAGAACAACAGATCATAACATCTTAAATATGGTTGGCACTCTATAAATATCAGTATTTGTTGATTAATGAACAGGTCCTTCAGGGATGGGTAAATGATAGCTTGATAAAAGGAGAAGGTATTTTTTCTGGTTTTGAATCTCCTTCATGGTAGGGTAAAATTTTGACCATTTCATTGATAAGACTTCGGTCTTTGGGCTGATGCCTTAGCTCAGGCACCTAAGCAGAGTTATATGCAATAGCCAACTACCTTATAGTGACAGTTTGTCCACTTTATCTATTATAAACCTCCCGGTCCTGAAGGGTCAGCATTTTATGGATGAGAAAATTGTTCAAGGTGGCAAAGCTGACAAATTGCAGAGTCAGAATTTAGTACCAGGCCTATTTCTGTCTTTCCCTCTCTTCAGTTTGGGGCACTTTAGAAACTCAGCTTTGCAAACTTAGAACTTTAAAAATCCACTCAGAGATGTTTGTACTCTGGGCCCCTGGCTAATATTCGGCATACTTGTAAGACTGGCTAAGGAACCAGAATGCAAATGTGTTGCTTTTAAACCATTTTATTGTGAAATGTACCACTCAGAAGGCTTCCCCGGTGGCTCAGAAATAAAGAATCTGCCTGCAATGCAGGAGATGTGGGTTCGATCCCTGGGTTGGGAAGTTCCCCTGGAGAAGGGAGTGGCAACCCACTCCAGTATTCTTGCCTGGAGAATCCCATGGATGGAGGAGCCTGGCGGGCTACAGTCCACGGGGTCGCAAAGAGTCGGACACGACTGGGCATGAGCACACATGCACATACCACTCAGGAAGTACAGTTCAACTTCCGCTTTTAAGAGAACACTGGCTGCAGTGTGGCTAACAGATTAGAAGGGACTAAAAGTGGAGGCGGTGCAACCAGTGCTATTGCTGTGGTCCAGGCTGGAGATGATGATGATCTAGCAGAGGTGGTGACACAAATGACAGAAACGGACGCGAGGTGTGTTGTAGGGGCAGAGTGATAGCACGTGCTGAATAGACGTACGACGGTGGAAAAGGAAGGCTCGAGGATGACTCTCGGGTCAGTAGCCTGAACAAAAGTTTGGGTGGTGGCATCCTTTACTGAAATCAGGGAGACTGAGAGGACAGTTTTGGAGATATGGGCAGAACCCAGGTGTTCCACTTTGGCATATATTGGCGGAAATGTGGTATTTTTAAATCATGAGAATGAATCTAGAGAGAGAATGCGTCACTTACAGGGAAGGCCTAGAACAGTCCACTAATATTTAGAAGTTGAATTCACTAGAATAGTCTACGAAAGCAACCAAGAAGCAGCAGCAGTGGTAAATGAAAACCAGGAGAGGTGGGTATCACAGACTAAGAGAGGAGAACTTTCTGAGATGGAGGAAGGAACTGCTACTAACAGGTCAGTTGCCCACGGGACTGAAATTCTGGCAATGGGAAAGTCAGTAGTGCCCTTAGCAAAATTAGTTTCGTGAAGTAGTGGGATTGAAAGCCAGCTTGGAGTAGACTGGGGGGGGGGGGGGGGGGGGNTTCCTAGAATGGCCAACAAGGCTGCTAAAGTCTTAACAGGACATAGGATTGGCAGGGGGGGGGGGGGGGGGGGGGGGGGAAGGATGGAAACTATTTAGACCACACATGTATAGAAACTCTTAGGAAAATTCCTTTGTCAAGCTGCCAGCAGCTCCAGAGAGGTAACCAGCCACATGACATTGGTATTTGTCAGCTCTTGGGGGAGACTACACTTCTTTGAAAGCTGCTTATTCTGGCTCACATTCACATTCATCCCATGCTTATTTTTGTCACTTGTCTTTACTACCCACCTCTAGATCAAAATTGAACTCAAGCAGGCCCAGGAAAAGTTATTAGACAGCTCAAAGATGTGCTGTTCACTCACGGCTGAGTGGAAGCACTGTCAGCAGAAAATCAGGGAACTGGAGCTGGAAGTACTTGAACAGGCTCAGAGCATTAAATCACAGAACAACCTACAGGAAATGCTGGCTCAGGAGAAATCTAAAGTTGCTGATGCAGAGGACAAGGTAATTATCCTCACACTTAATAAATATCATGCCCTGGATACTACTACTGAAATTCTGTTTCCCTGAGGATTTTAGGAAATAGATACAGTGCAAATGATAAAATTCTAGGGGTTTTTTACTCTCCCATGCTTTCCTCTTTTGATGTCACCTGTTCCTACGGTTCCAGTAAATCTGAGATAAAATTACTTTCATTATATACTTTCAAATTTTAAAGGACTTAGTCTCCTGTCACTTGGATTGTCTATGATTTTTAGTTTGTAATTTTTGGAGGGATAGATGTTAAGAAATGAACCCTTTTGAAATGTTACCCCTGCATTTTAGCCTGCCTGACACCAGGTGGCAGTAGTATGTAACACGTGCACATTTTCTTGGGTTTGTCTGAGTCAAATCTCATGTAAAAAATAAATCATTTCATCAAACCACATAAAGCAAACATCAAAATTAGATGATAGCAATCTGTCTTAAACTCAAAAACTCAATGTTGAGCTAAAGAAGCCAGCACAAAAGAGTTCATACTATGTAATTTCATTTATATGAGGTTTAAGAATAGACAAAACTAAGCTATGGTAATAGAATAGTGGATATCCTTATGAGGGGAATATGAGGAAATTGTCTATGGTGCTGGAAGGATTCTTTATCTTGGTCTAAAGTGGTGGTTATGTAAGTAAAACTTCACTGAGTATGTGCAAGTTATCGGCATATTGTCATATGTATGTTATTACTCCATTAAAAAAGTAACTGGCAAAATTGATAAAGATTAGTATAATTTTGAAATTTAGACAATACAAATATTGGTACTGGATTTTGTGCAACAGGATCACATATTCTGACTGCAGTTGGAAGAGTTAACTAGTATAGACACTTCAGAAAGCAATTTGGCATTAGTATCTAGTTAAGTTAAAGTTGTATATATACCATACAACCAACCCAACACTTCTACTACTAGGCATAAAAACTAGGGAAATTCTGCTGCATTCTGCTGCACACGTGTATCAGGAGGCAACATGAGTGCTCAATCACTTCAGTCATGTCCAACTCTTTGCAATTCCATGGACTGTAGCCCTCTTGGTTCTTCTGTCCATGGGATTTTCCAGGCAAAAATACTGGAGTGGCTTACGATTTCCTCCTCCAGGGGATCTTCCCAACCCAGGGATCAAACCCAAGTCTCCTGTGTCTCCTGCATTGAAGGCAGATTCTTTACCACTGAGTCACCTGGGAAGCCCCAGTATTTGTTTATACAAACATAAATCAATCTCTAGAAGGGTGGACAAGAAACTAATACCAGTGATTACCTATTTGGTGGAGGAAAACTGGAAAGAAGACAATATAAGATTGGAAAGGAGATTTTGTAGCTTAGTTTACCCACACACACTAAATCATGTGAACCTATTGCATACTGCAACAATTAAGTAATTTAATTTTAAAATTAAATCTAGTCACACTCTTCAGATGAGATTTTTATGTTAGTACTACTGTTTCTATGTATATGGTATTTCCCTAACTGGAAAATAAGTCACACTTAAAGTTTTATTTGTAAACTCTTTTCACTTAAGATTTTGGATCTGCAGCAGAAGTTAGAACATGCTCATAAAGTCAATCTGACAGACACTTGTATTTTGGAGAAGAAGCAATTAGAGGAAAGGATAAAAGAAGCAATAGAAAATGAAGCTAAAATAAAGCAACAGTATCAGGAAGAACAACAGAAGAGGTAAGAAGAGCAAAGACATCATTTTTCTGTGGGCTAACCACCCCTGAGTTTACGAGCAGTGTCAATTTACCACCGCATTTCCTCTGTGTCCCCACTGAAGTAAACTCAATTACAAAACTGTATGTGTGTGTGTGTGTGTGTGTGTGTGCATGTTAAGTGGCTTCAATCGTGTCCAACTCTTTATGACCCTATGGACTGTAGCCTGCCAGGCTTCTCTGTCCATGGGATTCTCTAGGCAAGAATACTGGAGTGGGTTGCCATGCCCTCCTCCAGGGCATCTTCCCAGCCCAGGGATTGAACCAGTATCTCTTATATCTCCTGCTTTGGTAGATGGGTTCTTTACTACTAGCGCCACCTGGGAAGCCCCACATCTATACATAGTGATATATGTGTGTGTGTGTGTGTGTGTATGTACCACTATATTCTGATTGTTTATTTTCTTGCTTGCCTTTCATACTAGAGTGTGGAATTCTCAAGGGCAGGGATTATTTCTTGTTCTGGAACATGCTTGGTACACCAGTAAATCTTCTTGAATGAATGGATTATCTATGAAATATGATCCCCTGGGATCTGCTTTTCTAATTCTTAACACGATTGGCACAAAATGCAGAATAGAATGCAGTTGCTGTTTTGTATTTATCAGCTGATTTTCTTTAAAGAAGATCCAAGTACTTTATAGGCATCTTAATCATTCACATGCTGATAGTAGTTAAGAGCTGTCATTTTTTTTTCTAGAAGGGTTTTGATTATTATTAGGATTCTTACTAAAATGATCTTATATACCCTAAACTTCAAGTCATGGGCATATTGTCATATGTATGTTACTACTCCATAAAAAATGTAGCTGGCAAAATTGATAAAGATTAGTAAAATTTTAAAATTTAGACAATATAAATATTGGCACTTCTGTGGCACTCAGAACATGTGTCTTAAGAAACTACTCAGTAGTTTTAACTACTGAAAAGATATATAGCCATTCACATAAATTGTTAAGCTCAGAAGCTTTACTTTCAGCTCTAATTGAAACCTCTAGTATAAGACTTCCCTGGAGGTAACAATAGTTAAGACTCCATGTTTCCACTGCAGGGGTCGCAGATTAGATCCCTGGTCTGGGAACGAAGATCCCACATGCTGCTCCTCAGCACAGTTCAAAAAGAAAAGAAACCTCTAGCATAGAGCCCGACACTCAGTAGGTGCTTAGCAAATATGTTGTAAATAAATGAATGTTTGAGTGAATAGTGAATTCGCTCGGGTCCGATAGAAAAATACTTGTCTCACTGCCGCTTCTACCAAGATGACACCCTTCTCCTGTTTTAATACAGCTAGTTCCTGAATAAACCACAATAAGCACACCTTTTAAAGCACTGCTCACAAAGTTAGAGAAAGCCCTAGGACAAACATACAATGAGGCAAAACAAAAATAATGAATGGTAAACAAACTTCTAACTCAAGGGACAAATAGCACGATCAGCTCCAGGTTCAAGAGAACCCGAGGAAGTTTGCCACAGGTGTGTGTGCTCACTTGCTCAGTCGTGTCTGATTCTGTGCAACCCTGTGAGCTGTAGCCCGCCCAGCTCCTCTGTCCATAGACTTTCCCAGGCAAGAATACTGGAGTGGGTTGCCATTACTGTAGTTTACAGTAATTTTAAAATTTCTCTTTGACATCTACTGTTTAAATAGAAATATGTTTAATATCCAAATATTGTGCTTTTCCATCTATTTTTCTGTTGTGGATTTATGGTTTCATAATATTAAATAGTCATATAGCATTTTGTTACATAGCTATATCATAATTTGTATAAAATGTTTTTAGACTTTTTGCTGATATAAAGTATTTTGTAATTAATATCCTGACACATGGGGCTTCCCTGGTGGCTCAACAGTAAAGGATCCACCTGCCAATGCAGGAGACGTGAGTTAGATCCCTGGGTCAGGAAGATCCCATGGAGAAACGGCAGCCCACTGCAGCCTTGCCTGGGAACTCCCGCTGACAGAGGAGCCTGGTGGGCTGCAGTCCGCAGGGTCACAGGAGTCGGACACATCTCAGCGACTTCACCACCACCACCACCATCCTGACACGTTAAGACTTTGCAACTATAAGGAAGTATGAGAAGGGTTATACTAAGGGAGATTTAGTATGCTCAGGTAACACCAGGGACACCTAGTTAGGTCCAGGAAGCTCAAGAAAGCCTTCCTCAAAGAAAGCTATGTAAGTTGAGAGTAAAGTAGTTGTTACAGGAAAGCTAAGTAGAAAATACCAGATAAAGGAAGACCTGGAAGAGGATAGGGACAAGGCTGGAGTTGCAGGGGATTAATAAATGTGGAAGATGACTTGTTTGGGGAAGTGAAAATTTTTCATTTTGCCTGGAACAAAATGTTTGGGGGTAGAGGAAGTGGCAAGAAAATGGAGCTAGAAAGGTAAGTTAGCTCACAAGTCATATTAAAGAATTTGGGGGAATTCCCTGGTGGTCCAGTGGTTAGAACTCCATGCTTTCACTGCCAAGGACCCAGGTTCAATCCCTGGTTGGAGAACTAAGATCCCACAAGTCCAAAAAAGAATTTGGACGTTTTCTTAAGAGTGAAGGAGAACGTTACAGCAGTGTTAACACATGTGCATTAGTATCAAGTGTTTGTAACTGACAGCCCTTTATTAAAGCAAGGAGATGAAGGGATTCAACTCATAAAGCAGTGTGGACAAGCACAAGGACTATAGAATTCAGAATGAGAGCCCTGCCTCCCTCTTGCTGTGGCTGTGCAACCTGGAGCAAGTTAATTAAGCCTCTCAGTGCCGCAGCTTCCTCTGTGTTGTTGTTGTTCAGTCACTAAGTTGTGCCCTACTCTTTGTGACCCCATGGACTGCAGCATACCAGGCCTCCCTGTCATTCACTATCTTCTGGAGTTTGCCCAAGTTCATGTCCATTGAGTTGGTGATGCTATCCAACCTTCTCATCCTGTGCCACCCTCTTCTCCTTTTTGCCTTCAGTCTTTCCTAGCATCAGGGTCTTTTCCAATGAGTTGGTTGTTGGCGAGTTCCCTTCTCTGTGAAATAAGGACAGTTATTTCTTCTTAGGGTAGTTTTCGGGAAAGAGAAAACTAAGAAAAGCTTCCATCACAAAGGAGGTTGCTCTGATGTTGGCCCATTACGGACCACTACTTTGTCTCACTGAACAAAAAAATTCCCCTGTGCCCAGTCTAACAATTTTAGGTCAAAGAGTTTCTTTTGCAAAGCTTTGCAATTCACAGTGTGACTTAATATACATTAATTGCCTTAAGGAAACTCCTAGATCAGAATATGAATGAGCTACAGAAGCAAGTGAAAATCTTACAGGAAAAAGAGAGTCTACTGGAAATGACCAGTTCTCAGCAACAAATCAAACTTCAGCAACAAAAGGCCCAACTTAAAGAACTGGAAAATGAAAAAAGAATATCTGATGAGGTAAGAAGACAAATAGGTATGCTTCTCAGTTTTCCTATTCCCTTAGACCTAAGTAATAGTTAATAAGAACTAATAATTCTTGAATGCCTAGCTCTTTACCCATTAAGTTTAGTTAGGATTCAGACAGGGAAGCAGAATCTACTCTAGATATTTCAAGCAAGAAGGAATTTAACACAGGGAATAACATGCTTACAAAACTGTTGGAAGGGAGAGGTAGGGGTGAGTAGGTCAGAAAGAACTGTTGCTAGCTTTCAATAAATCCAGAGGTTCAGAAACCACAGGGAAACCAACCCTTGTAGGAGATTAGCAGGAACTCTCCCAAAGCCCTTTCAAAAGTTTCCCTCTTTGATTTACCTGATAGTGTTACCAGAAACTGGATTTGCCTCTTGGGTGTCAAGCCAAGAGACACAGCCAAGTCAATAGATCAGGAGAAGAAAGGATCTATTTGCAGCAAGTGAAAACACCAGGGATCTTTCCCAAAGCAGTGTCTCCTCAAACATCAAAATTGGGAAAGTTTTAAGCTAAGGATATTTGCATATTCATGAAGAAGCCTGAGCAAAGGAGAATTCAGCATAGAATTGGGGCAAAGGTCCAGAGTCCAGGCTTTAGTTGATAGAAGTCATGAGGGTCAACATCATCCTTCTGTCCTCCACCTAAGTGGGGGCCTTAGTTCCTGCCGAACTCAAAGACATGTATCAGATTGCTATATATTTCCCTTGAGGAGGAACTAGGGCTAATTTTATCACTGAACTATTGTTTCTTGACTGCTTTTGCTTTTTCCTGCACTTCTTCACGTCCCTTAAAATCATTAACTACTGAGACCTGTTCAGGGACAAGCATTGTGGCCAGGTTTAGATCACAAAATGGATTAAGCCAAAAATGTCTTCTCTTATGTCAAGAAATCATGTCTGGTTCTTTCTCTGGAGACTCCCTACCCTGGCTGCTTCCAGCAGCACAAGAGGAGCATGGTGGCCTCTCCTGTGCTTTCCAAACTGTGTGCAAGTGCCTCTGAGTTGCAGAAACCGAACGGAACTCTGCTGTCAAGGGAGTTTAGCAAATGTCATTTTCAGACTTCCAATCTTGCAGCACAGGGGAGAGCTTAGAAAAGTAAGGGTCCTGGTGAGCAATGTCACAGTCTACTTTGTATAAGCAGCTTCCACCCAAACCCTTTTACCCATATTCAACCTTATAAACTACAAGAAGAATAGTATGCTTCCACTGAGTAGAATGCACTGTCACTCATACAAATGAAGATGAAGCAGCACAACTCAGATTGGGGCTTGAACTCGTTGTCTTAATTGAAATCACACACCTCTTCTCAGGACTTAATGAAGCTCAGGTTCTTCTGTCTTGTCTCAGAAAGAATTCAGTGAGAGACAAAGTGATAGGTAAGAAGTGGATTTATTTAGAGAGATACACATTCCATAGGTAGATTGTGGTCCGACTCAAAAGGCCCGAGTGGCTCTGAAAGAAACACACTCCACAGACAGAGGATGGACCATCTCAGAAGGCAAGAAGTCCAGAAACATGGCATAGTTAGTTTTTATGGATTGAGTAATTTCAGAGGCTAATGATGGGAGGATTAGTCCAGCTGTTTTGGAGAAGGGGCAGAATTGGGCCATACCCACTGACTACTTTTGGGCCTTTTATGATTGGCCTTGGAACTGTCTGGCACCTGTAGGTGTATCACTTACCTAATTACAGTGAGCATATAACGAAGCTCAAGGTCTAGCGGAAATTATATCTTCTGCCATCTTGACCCTAATAGTTTCAACCAGTTTTTGTCATATCTTCAACAGTTATGTCATTCTTTTAAAGGTGGTGCTCTGCTTCCTGTTTCGTTGATTCACTTAACTTCTGAAAGTCCCAGCAGCATCTGTGGTCATTTATGGATAATGTAATTGCTGCTTCTTCGGTCTCAATCCACATGGATATACTAACTTTAAAACTTAATTATAAATTAACTACCAATAATACAATAAATTAACTACCGATAAACATGTTTTGGGATATAGGATTGAAAAGCCATTCCCATTCCAGCTCTTGGCTTCTTTCCCATATTCTGGCTCTGAGAGAGACCACAGCATATATCAATCACTGGTTGAAAGTTTAGACATCATCTTATAGGACAACACAGAACCTCAAAAGATGTTACCTGGCCAGCATCATACCTACATCTTCCATAGGTCTTTTCACTGTTTTGCAGGTTTCTTTTTCTTTTTTTTTTCCTGGATAGTAGGATATATGATGAGAGCAATGACTGAGATTTTGTTTCACCTCTCTTACTTTAAAATGATTTTCTTGTTCAGGAACTATGTTGAGTAGTAGTATATCATGACAGGAAATAAAGAATTTGGAAAGCCCACAGATGGTAGTCCTGGCAAAAGCACCATGGACAGAGAAAGAAAATCCAGGTCTAAAATGAGTGTCTTTTTCACTGAGGACTAATTGTTGCTCTCTCCATAGTGGAAGAGATCCAGTATAATAAACCTGCTATCCGGTGACTGTTGGGCCCCCTGCCTAGTAGATGGTCCCATATCAGTAGCTCAACATTGATCTTTGCTTTTGGCAAGTTGAGTAGATTAGCCTTGGTGACCCCTTGTCCACTTTGTACATGAGCCCAAGTGAGTGAGCACATAAAGGATAGAAAAAGAGGCTAAGTGACATCTACAGAATGTACTGTTTTTTTCCACTTGATTATTGAAGGCCACCTCTTCTGTGGAAGCCCTCTGCTGTGGAAAAGCCCATGAGGCACATATATGTTCACACTCTAGGCTTGTGCTGTCTAATATTGTGTCAACTAGCCACTGTGGCTATCTAAATTTATATTAAATTGAAATTTTAGTTCCTGAGACATACTAGACACGTTTCATGTGCTCAGTAGCTGCATGTAGCTAGTGACCACCCTGCTGGAGAGTGCAGGCACAGGACACTTCCACCAGTAGGACACATGTCATCAGTCTTCCAATATTATTCTTTCCAAATCCCTGATCATCTGGCCAAACCATTAGAAACTTTCTATGAGTTAGCATCGGTCCATGCTTCTGGACATCTCTCTTTCCGGGCAAGGTGAACATAAACTTTGCCCACTGAGATTTCCCTTCCCACTGGTCTGAAGGACCACCCCTCAGCTGGAGCTATCAGGCCTCAGCAGCCCTATTTCAAGTGGTTGCCATATTTTGTACAGAATCATAAGTACATCAGGCCCAAATTAATCTTTCTCGGCTAACTGGTAATACATAACTCCCCGCGAGGCCATAGGTTTGGGTTGAGAGAGCTGGTGATACAATAGAGGTAAGTATCGCTTGCTCATGCAGCTTGCTCAGTATTTTCCATAGCAGTTCTGTTTGAGGACGGAGTACAACTGCACATGCCCAATTCAATGCTCAGTGGATAGTAGAACACCTCGTTTCAGGAAGGGCAGCTCAGGTTACTCAACCCTTTCTTTCTCGTGGCCAACCATGAGAGATAATTGAGAGGAGAGATGACTCTCCTCCCAAATCCTAAGATTAAACTAAAGGTTTCCAGAGGCTCTGTGATGTTTCCTCCTCTGCCACAGAGACTTGGGGCAAATTTGGGTCTGCTGGATCATAAAGCCCAAATGGCAGAGCAGTCTGCACCACAGCCTGGCATAGCGCAGCTCTTTGTCTTGCTTTGGGCACCACTAAAACCATACAGCCCTGATGGTTGCTTGATAAATGGGCTGAAGGAACAAAGGTGGTATAATTTGATTCTAGACTCAGAAGAGGCTTTCTAAGAACTTGGCCTTTTCTATCATCAATAGCCCTCATGCCTCAGGTTGGAAAGCCAGCAAGAAGAATCTGCTCTTCCATATTGTCTAAGCTGACTGCACACTCAAGAACTGGGAAATTCACAAACTGAGGAGCTTCATAAACCCACTAGACCCATCATGAAACCTATACTGAGCCAATCCTTCCTGAAGTCTCCACTCTGAATTCTGAACCTCAGTTGCATTTTGGGCTCCATGGTGCTAGTGCTGATGCAGAACCACTGGACTGTATGGAAATCCCCCCAAATCTACATAATCCCCTTTCTCCAATGCCCTGTCACCTGGGTAAAAGGCCACAGATCTCTTTGGGAAAGGCTTGGGAGAAGATCACATGCTTGTGGCAGAGTCACACACAAGGTTCTTCCTGAAGAAAACCTGGCTAAAAGGACCCTGGGTCTGAACTGACTCAGGTCTGAGGACTGAGTAAGGGTCCATTACTCTCTGTGTTGTCATTCAAATCGGACCTCTGTTCACCAGACCCAGGTGCGTTTGTTTATTTAAAAATACAACTCAAGCAAAACTTTAATAGGCTGTTCATCTATTTTAGTTCTGTAATCACTGTGATCAGTTAACTACAACCAATGATTGCTTTGAGTTTAGCCATTTGGTTTCATCTCTGGCCCTATTGTCTAATAGCAGTACTAATGCCCACCTTGTATCAGGGATTAAGCATTGTGCTTGACTTTTGACACTCTGCAGTAGCATCACCTCCCATCATAAAATCAGGGCTCAATTCCAATGTTGGCATCTCCCACCATCATCCTCATAGGAGAGCATTATAGAACATTTCAAGGAATCTGGTTCTCACCAGTGTATTTGGCAAAGCCTTTGTGAAAGGAATGTCTTCTGAGTCATGCAAGGGTCATGATGAGTTGGATGAGCAGGTCACCTATGATAAATCTACTCCAAACGTCCTATCTGCTTAAGACTCTGGATTCTTTCCTCTCACTTAGCATGGTGTTTTATTTTTTTTCCCTATTTATTTTTATTAGTTGGAGGCTAATTACTTTACAATATTGTAGTGGTTTTTGCCATACATTGACATGAATCAGCCATGGATTTACACGTGTTCCCCATCCTGAACCCAGTATGGTGTTTTAATATCATTTAACCCTGGTCACTGTTGAGTCCACCAACCAAGCAAACTATTAAAGTCACTTGGGATGTTTAAATTAACACATTAAACCCTGAATCTCTGTAAGTGTATCCATCAGGTCAATAAATTCAGCCTATTCAACATTATGTTCCTTTCTCCCTAGTATAAACACCGTAGGAATACAGTCCTATGTATATTCCTCAGGTTTCTGTCAATTTAACTTCATAAAATCTTTCCATTCTCTCAGTATGGCAGTCCTCCTAGGTCAGTGACTATACTCAACTCCTTTTCCCTGGGATGTGCTGGGATCGTTGTAGGATTCAAGGCAAAGTGGTGGTGGTAGTGTAGGGGTGGGTCTTAAGAACAATGGGTATCATTGCACAGATAAATGCCCCAGGTGGAGTCAGTAGAGTCCTGGAGACAAGGGTGCTTAATGTCCTGAGACAGTAGGACTGCTTATGCTGATAAGAAGGGCTCAGTAGGGTTTTGAGGCCCGGGGTGCTCAAAGTTATTGGGATCCTGTCAGATGTTCTTGTTCCCAGTTCTCAGATTTGCATGTTTTCCAAATAAAACACTATTTTTCATATAAGAGATCTAGCAAGGCTATGAAGTCAACTTGTGCTTGCAGTTCTGCAACCTACTTGATGAAATTTGGATTTGGATTTTGGATATATTGACCTGCTGCCTACATGAAGGAAGTGCCCTGGGTCTCTGAGTATGCCTTCTTCCAGTAAACAAACCCTGAGTTGGCCATTTTCTCCTCTAGGGCTCATTAACTTGATCAGATGTAGCTAACCACCCCACACACCTTAGAGTTCTCAGACTTTTTATATAGGCTTACACAACTGTTGGAAGGGTTGAGGAATCACAAGTAAGGAAAAGGAGCTACTAGCTTTCAGAAATTCTGGAGGTGCAAAAATCACAGGAAGCTAATATGGTTTCTGTAAGCCTTTTTTAGCAGAAAGGCTTTGCCCGTTTACATTCTCTCAACATCACGCCTTTCTTCACCAGTGTATTCTCATTTTTTTAAATGTTTTTCAGCATCTCAAGAGCAACCAGGAATTGTCAAAGAAGCTGTCTGTGTTGCAGCAGGAGAAGGAAGCTCTATGTGAAGAAAATGAGCACCTTTTGAAGCAGTTTGATCTCTATATGAGGTAAACAAAAATAAGTTCCCTTTAGAAGACCACTGCGTAGAGTAAAGCTCCTTCTTACAGAACCAGCTCCGGAGCTCAGCAAGGGATGCTTGCTGAGGTGACTTTTCAAGAACGCCAACACCATTGTCCTTCCTTCCCAGAAGTTCTATCTGTCGGGCTTTTTCTAGGGAGGTGTGGGGCCTTATTTCTTCTCAAGAGAGGGAGGAGGAAGGGAATTGCTATTTATTGAGCTCTAGTGGTATCTAACATCTTGCTCTTCCCCAAATACATCCCTCTGACTTGCCTTCAGGCTCTTTCCCCTCACATGCTGTCCTCAGTCTGAACCATGCTCTCCCCATTTCCACTCTTCCTTCTCAGACAAGCCTTCCTTGACACCTTCAGCCTGGACTGGATGAGGTGCTCACTGTTTGTGTCCCCATAGCCTTCTATACGTGACTGTGATTACTTAAGGACTCACCGTGTTGTTCTGAAATAATGTGATTCACACCTATCTTCCTCACCAGACTATAGGCTTTAAAGGACATGGGCCACAGTCTTATTCATCTTTTTATCCACAGTCCCTGGTATATAGAAGGTGCTCAATGGAAATCTATGTTCCCAGACTTCCTACTCTTTCTTTCATTCACTGGTCATCATTCCACCAGATTCCTCCCACTCTCCTCCTCTCTGAAGTGTAGCATGGTAGTTCAGAGTATGGACTCTGGAGCCATATTGCCTGGGTACAATTCCTGGTTCTACTAGGAACTAGCTGTGTGACCTTGGGCAAGTTAAGTAACCTCTCTGTGCCTGAGGTATCTCATCTTTAAAATGGGCAAAATAGCCATTCCTTTCGCATAAAGTTGTTGGGAGAATTAAATGATGAATGAATACATGTAATAGAACAGTGTCTAGCACAAAGCTGTTATTATATCTACTTATTTTCAGTTTTCCTCTATGACCCACCTCTCTGCTTCTAGCTCTGCACCTCATCTCTATTGTTTCTTTAAGCTGAAGTTTCTTATTCTCTTATATTCTCACTCACTTCCTATGTTGATGGTAGTAATAATGATTTGAAAACCACTTTCTGCTGTATAGTGGAAAATTCTTCAGTCATTGATATTCAGTATCTTGCTTTGATTATCGTATCACTGAGAAGTATAGAAACATGGAAAGGAACATGTATGGCTCAGCTCATATTAAAATGACAAATCGAAGACTAGAACTCAGCCCTCTACTAACCTGCACAGAGCTCTTCCCACTTTGCATCTGCCGTTAGAGGGAGGAGAGGGCATCCACAGAGCCCATGGTGTCTCACAGCAGTGAGTCCAGAAAGGCCAGGCAGAAGCTGCAGGCCCTCCCTCTGTCAGGACCAGGATGCACCCTCCCATCTTGGATCAGGAACCACCAGCATGAGCACTGACCACCTCAGAGCCTGGGATCCCGAGATGGACTCTCAGTGGAGATGTTTTACGTTCTGCTGATCATGTAAGCATATTCCTGCTCTTTAACCAGCCTCGGGAGCACAGCCTTCTTGGGGTCTCAGTCAGATCAGGTATAAATCATTAATCTCATTGTTATCAATAAACAATGCTGATAGTTGGTGCAAACTGCCATGAAACTCCAGACCTGTGGTTGCAAAGCAACACTGTTTTAATTGGTATATTTTGTTCCTGGACCACTGGTCAGTGCCAAGCAAGAACTTTCACAAAACAGTTCAGGCCTGATTCTAGGCCTGTTGGACTCAACCCTCTAACACAGCCCTGATTTAGTTAAAAATTACCCACTGGTCCTGCAATTGATATTTTTACGCAAAATAACTTAAAACCATTTTTGTACATGTATTTTTCATTTTAAAAAATTATCTTTATAAATTCATAGGTGTGGAATTACTAATCCAAAAGCTGGAGCTATGGATCTTAAAATGTACTATCAAACACTCAGAAGCATCCTACCAAAATTTTCTGCCATTATTGTGTGAGAGTAGAAATTTCACTATATCTGTATTTGCATTGGGTGCTACCTTTGTAGGGGGAGGGCTCTGATGAAATTTTTCCCAATGCTCTTTCTTTTAACTGAGGTATAATTTACATGTACACAGATTTTTTTTTTTGTACACAGATTTTTAAATGTACAATTTGATGAGTTTTGACAAATGTATATGCCCACTAAGCACAACCCCAATCAAGATACAGAACATTTCCTTTATCCCTACAGTTTGTTCCTTTTTATAGTCAATCTGTATCTCCTGATCCCTCACCTCCTCCCAGGAATCTACTCTTCTGATTTCTGTCTCTACTAGAATGGAATTATACTACATGTAATCTTTTGTGTCTGACTTCTTTTGCTCAGAATATTCCATTAATTTTTATTTTGGAATAATTCCCATCCATTGTTTTCAATGATCAGTTATAGTCATAAATTACTTGTTATTTTATTTTGAATTTCTTTGATGGCTAGGGAGTCTGAATAGTTTTCCATATTATTAGTCCATAGCCTTTAGAACAGTGAATCCTAACCCTAGCTGCACATATGCGGGCCCCAACATAGATTAATTAAATCAGAATCTGTGAGGATAGGGCTTAGGGATCAATGTTTTTCTAAAATCATGCCCATGTGATTCTGGTGGGCGCCTAGGAAAATTACAGCTTTAAGAAAGAAAATGAAAAAAAAAAAGAAAGAAAGAAAATGGAAGAAATTGTCAAAACTCTAGGTTCATTTTTTTCATTCCCCTGATCCTACTCCTGACCTTTACAAACAATGCTTAATTTTTTTCCCATATTTTCCCAGCTACTCTTCCAGAGGAACAAATTCCTTGCCATTTTGAAATAAAAATGAAGGAAAAACCATCTGGTTTTACTTAAACATAACCCAAAGTTGTCCTGAAATTTTAGAACATGAGTATTGTGCTGCCTTATCATGCATGCAGTTAACCAAGCCAACCATAAACTTAGAAAATCCACATGTTCTTTGGCAAGTTGGCCAGCAGAACTTCTGACCAAACTGATAGGTGTGCCAAATAGCCAGCAAGCTATTTGAGAAGGTCTAAGCTCTCATCAGCTTTACTGCATCCAGGTACTTTTCATACCATGTAGTTCTACTGAAAGAAGCCTGAATATCTGCAATAGGAGCTAGTTAGGTCAAGTATTGTACATTCACTTGATGGAATATTATACAGCTGTAAAAGATGGTGGCCATGAACATTAGAAGCGATGTGGGAAAATGCTTCTGATATAATAAATGAAAAGAGCGTAAAATAATTTTAACCTAGACAGTGTTTAAACAGAAGATACTTATAAAAAGAGTGGAAGGAAAGACAACAATATCATAAAATAGATCATATGGGAGTTGGATTTTTTCCCCAAGTTTTCTATAATTTATCATTTAAAAATAAATAATTTTTTAATTTTTATTAAATTTTTTAATAGTCCAAATGGCAGAATAAGAGAGACAGCAGCTGTCTGGCATGGAAGCTGCAGATGTGGGTTTTAATAACCCAGGGCAGAATGTGTAAAAAAAATTCTAGAAATCCATGTTGTATTTCAAATGATGTCAAAACATCAGAGGAACTGTGAACAGCTGGGAAACTCAGAGAACAACAGGTGTACCATTAGTGTTTAAACCTCTGAAGCTATGGACTGGGGGATGCTGAAACCCAGTGATATCTTTTGACAAACTCTTCCCAGAATAAGGGAAAATGAGAACATTTGTGAGATGAAAATATCTTCCTGTATAGAACCTGAGTCAATCCATGAGAATATATATTTCCTATTATATAGTGGGTGCTACAAGGGCCACAGAACTGAACAAGCCTAAAGCAGTTTTATAAACCTCAGTATCTAGAGTAACTCTGTTGAGTTGCTGTAGCAGAGACATTGAATAAGAATGTCTTTAGAAAGGGAGGGGGTTTCTCTCTTACCTAAAAGCGCAGGGAGCTCAATGTTTCCAAAGTCTAGACTCCTTTCTTGTCGCTGCAGCATCTTTAGCACTTATCCACGTAGTCCAAGGCAGTTCATTACTATATTCACATTTTATCCAACAAGAAGGGAAAAAGAGGGGAAGGCAAGGGCATTCTGTTTTCCTTTAAGGCACATTATTTCCACTCCAGCTACTGGCCGGAACTTACTCACATGGCCTCATCTAGCTGCCTCATTTAACTACAAAAAAACTACATTTTCTTGTAGTTCATGTTTGAGCAACCAAGTGCCAAGCTAAAACCAGGAGGTCTATAATGATATAAGAAGGGGAAGGTGTACTGAGGACCCATCCCCACAGTCAGTCACTGCCACCCAAACTGACGAGCTGGTGACAAGGGCGAGTGTGCATGTCTCTGACCTACAGGAATTCAAACTTCTCTGCTTGCTATCTGGCCAACAGCTGAATTAATCTTCTAAGGGAAAAATATGCAGAATGATTCTTTTGTTTACAATCAACAGTTAGGAGAGAGAGGGGCACTATTTTGGAAAATGGAAGAGTCTTGCAAAACACACTTAGAGGTAAGATAATAACTTAACCAGAGCAGAAGACTATCCTGGAGTCACTAGACTAAATTACCATCTAAATAAGTCTCCTTTGCTCTTCCCCTGCCATCCAGCTCCTAGTTTTTTTAAAAAAGTGTTAATCGCTCAGTTGTGTCCAACTCTTTGCAATCCCATGGACTGTAGCCTGCCAGGCTCCTCTGTCCATGGACTTCCCCAAGCAAGAATACTGGAGTGGGCAGCCATTCCCTTCTCCAGGGGATCTTCCCAACCCAGGGTTCGAACCTGGGTCTCCAACATTGAAAGCAAATTTTTTAAACCATCTGAGCCACCAGGGAAGCCCTTATAATAGGTTATTAAGATGTAATTCACATACTGTACAATTCACTCATTGAAAGTGTACAATTCAGAGGCTTTAGTTATAGTCCATCACTGCAATCAATTTTAGAACATTTCATTACCTAAAGAAATCCTTTAGGTATACCCTCCATTCCTAGTTTCCCTCCTTACTCCCAGCCCCAGGCAATCACTAATGTACTTTGTTTCACTCTATATTTGTCCCTTCTGGACATTTCATATGAATGGAGTTGTATAACATGTGGTCCTTTGTGACCGGCTTCACTCACCTAGCATAGTGCCTTCAAAGTTCATTTATGTTGTAGCATATATTTGTACTTCATTCCTTTTTATAGCTATATAGTGTTCCATTATACAGATACTCCATACTGTGTTTATTTGTTCATTAGTTAATGGAAATTTAGGTCATTTTCAACTTTTGACTGTTATGAATGGTGCTACTATGAATATTCATGTACAAGTTTTTGTGTGGGTGTACATTTTCACTTCTCTTAGGTATATACCTAGGAATGGAATTGCTAGGTCAAATGGCTCTCTATATTTAACCATTTGAGGAACTGCTAGGCTTTTTCCATTTGACAGTCCAACCAGCAGTATATGAGTATTCCAATTTCTCCACATCCTTGCCAGTACTTTTTTAAAATACATGTATTTATTTATTTATTTGTCTGTGCCAGGTCTTGGTTGCATCGTGTGGGATCTTTGATCTTTGTTGCAGTATGCAAACTCTTAGTTGTGGTATGTGGGATCTAGTTCCCTGACCAGGGACCCAGCCTGGCGCCCCTACATAGCAGAGCCTTAGCTACTGGATCACCAGGGAAGTCCTTCCAGTACTTCACTACCTTTTATTTTTTATTTCAGCCATTCTCCTGTGTGAAGAGGTATCTCACTGTATTTTTTATTTGCATTTTCTTAATACTAATAATGTTGAACATCTTTTCATATATTTATTGGTGGTAAGTTAAATTTACGTCAGAATCAGAATAAAAGTATTGAGCAGAGATCTAGATAGAATTGGCATTTAGAAGTCTAAACTCAAGACAAGAGTGAAAGCAAACCCTGTTGTCTGGAAAATCGACAAGACAGAGTGGGTTCTATCACTGTCCAAGGGTATAGCCCAGAAGCAGAAAATTTTAAAGTGATGACTAGCTCAGTGGAGTAGGATTCAAAATTTTTAGTATCAGGGATCAGACGTCACGGAGTTTCCGGTGTTGGGGATGACTGAATCTGGTGTCGTGGGGGAGGTTCTCCTTGGTCCATTTCCCCCACGTGGGTGAGAAGTGCTATGGATGCGAGGCAGGGCGAGTCTTCGTCTCTGGGACCCACCCTGACAAAGCAAGAAGAAGAACCCCAAGAGAGGTGCTAATCGAGGAGGCAAAGTAAATTTTCACTGTGTTTAGGTGCATCTATATTTAAATTTGCTTTTGTAGAAACTATAATCAGAAATATCAATACTACAAAGTCAAGCTGCACAGAGTCAAGGATCGTTTAGTTGATGAAGTAGAACTCCGAGATGAGAGAATCAAACAACTCGAAAATGAGGTTGGAGCCCTGCGGCAGCAAATGGAAAAGGTGAGGGGAGGGGGGAGCGTTCGCTGGTCCTGCTGGTGCCGGGCATCCGGGGAAGCCCCCTTGATGTCTGATGTGTTTGTGGCCTCTTCAGAGCCCAGGTTTCCCTTTCTTTTCTTTGCACCCTTTTTCAGTTTGAGTAATTGTTTAAGCCCTGCCCCAAAGTTTGTAAGACTCATAGTGATGCTAGATCAAACTGGACACTGAAAATGCTCTGCACTGCTGCTTAGGGCTAGCGTCTTTCCTTCAAATGAAAGTGCCTTTTTAATTTATTTTAATGGGAGGATAATTGCTTTTACAGTGTTGTGTCGGTTTCTGCCATACATCAGCGTGAATCAGTCATAGGTGTATAAATATGCTCCCTCCCTCGTGAACCTCCTCCCACCTCCCACTTGATCCCACCCCTCTAGGTTGTCACAGAGCACCCGTTTGAGCTCCCTGCATCATCCAGCAAATTCCCACTGGTTATCTGTTTTACATATGGTCAGTCAGTCAGTCAGTTCAGCCGCTCAGTCGTGTCCGACTCTTTGCGACCCCATGCATCGCAGCACGCCAGGCCTCCCTGTCCATCACCAACTCCCGGAGTTTACACAAGGTAGTGTATATGTTAATCACGCTTTAGCTGAGACTTCCAAACCAGCCTCCACAACTCATTCCTGCTTTATGTAGCCCTCATTTTGCCTCACATTTCTGTCCATTTTAAATGGAAATGAAAACAGGTGACCCCTGTTCTTCTATCTGACTGGCACCTTCAGCTGTTTTCTAAATCTCTCTGGTTTCTTTGTCTTGTTGCCCCTGTTGACTTTCTGGTGTTGGCAGAAAGTAAATGGAACAGATGAACAGGACCCAATGCAGAATGGCCTTGAGAGCAATAAACTACATCAATTCAAAGGGGAGAGCAGCTGATTTAGCCAGAAATGTTTCCCTTCTGAAGATACCCAACCCATTTCAGAATTTTGAAAACATTGTCCTCAGTCCTAAATTACTCCTTTCTACACCCACCAAATTTTTATCATATCACCACTACGTGCCAAGGATACCAAAACAATTGATATAAATTCAGTTATTCCATGGGCTATTATAGGACTCCACAAGAAGACTCCCTCGATGACTGTAAAACATGTGAGGATTATAAGAGATGGGTCACCAATGTTGTGGTTTTAAGTTTGCTTGTTTTTTTTTTTAAATCCTTCTGTTACTTTAAACTGTAGTGAGAATGGAAAACAAGTTAGATTTTGCAGTGCCCTCCTATTGTGGCACTAACTCACCAAACTTTGGAAGACTCAGATCCGGGTTAGACTTAGGATCAGATCCAGGTTAGGAAGGCAACGCAGAAAGTGTAACAGAAGAAAGTAGCAGCTCTTGTGCACGGGCCCACCGGAAATACCATCAGCCTATTCTGCACTACCCATTCTTCCTGGTGGTGCCTGCCTTCCACTTGCAAGCTTACATGGCAAAACCAGCCTCCTGCTTTCAGCAGGTATGTTTCCTGACTGTACCATGTTGAAGAGTATACCCCCCAAATTCATGGCCACCCGGAACCCCAGAATGTGACCTAATTTGGAAGTTTGCTGGTATAAACAGTCAAGATGAGGTCATACTAGATTAGCGTGAACCCCAAATCCAATATGACTAGTATCATTATACGAAGAGGAAAAGACGTTCACAGGGGAGAAGGGCCATGTGATGATGAGGCACAGATTGGAGCAATGAAGCCACAAACCAAGCACCAAGGACTGGTAGCATTCATCAGTTAGGAGGGAGACATGGAACAGACTCTCCCTCAGTGCCCCCAGAACTAGCCCTGTCAACAACTTTATTTTAGACTTCTAGGAATTCAAACAACAAATTCCTGTTGTTTTAAGCTGCCCAGTTTGTTGTAATCTGTTACAGCAGCCCTGGGGAACTAGAACATCTACCCCAAGTCACAGGTCTCCATGAAATTTACTGGAGGCTGCAAGTAACCAGAGATGAGGAAAGAGGGGTTGGGGTTGGCCTTGGACAGGCTTGGATGCAAAGGCTAGCCCTGCCACTTAATAGTTCTGTGACCTTTCCCGAGCTCCTTTGCATCATTTTCTTGTGAAAATATGAATCCCTACCTCACAAGGCTTCTGTGAGGATTAAAATACAAATGCCTAAAGTGGGACCTCCTGGCACATACAAATCTTCATAGATGTTACTTTCTTCTTAGTGTAAAGTCTCTTGGTGGTGGTGGCGGCTTAGTCACTAAGTCATGTCCAACTTTTGTGACCCCATGGAGACTATAGCCCATCAGGTTCCTCTGTCCATGGAATTTTTTCCAGGCAAGAATACTGGAGTGGGTTGACATTCCCTTCTCCAGATCATCTTCCTGGCCCCAGGAATCAAACCCCGGTCTCCTGCATTGCAGGCAGATTCTTCACTGACTGAGGTATGATAAAATCTCTTAGAAGCATGTTGATCAGTAGATGTACCACAGAAGTACAAACCTGGAGCTCTTGATTCTACTTATTTTAGGGCCTATGAACAAGAGCCCCAAGCATACAAATCCTGGACTCACTTTCTAAGCACAAAGTCTCCAGAAAATAATGCCACTTTTGGGGGCTTCATTCCTTCAGCCTTCTTTTATTCAATAAGCCAGTCGAGTCCTCTGACTGTGTGACCACCCAAACCAGGTTTCCACAAATATTTTATCCTATTATTACAGCAGGTGTCCTGGTTCCTAAAAAATACAGTATTTTCAATGGACAGTCCCACTCAGTTTCCTTTCTAATCCAGTTATAACTGCAGAGATTATTTGTCGGGTGGCTGCTTCCACTGTCAATCCTTACCATAATGTATTTAAAGAGTAACAGGTGAGACTGTTGTTAGACACTGAAGGGTCCTGGATGAAGGACTTTAAAATATGGAAGAGTTGTTCCAAAACATGCCATAATCTCCTTCCTTACAATTCCTTAATAATAGACTAATAGATGGACAGCCTTCCTTCTTCTCTCCCTCCCTCCCTTCCTCGCTCTCTTTTCTTCCTTCCCTTCTTTCTATTTTGAATTATAATTGACATAATATTATGTTTACAGCATTATTACATTAGTTAGTTATATAGCACAATGATTCAATATTTGTATATATGTCCACCACAATAAGTCTAATTAACATCCATCACCACCCATAGTTACAAATGTTTTTTCTTGCAATGAGAACTTTTAAGATCTCCTGTCTTAGCAACTTTGTCATAATGCACTACAGTATTACTAGCTATAGCTCTATGCTGTACATTACATCCTTATAACTTATTAATAACTGGAGTTTATACCTTTGACTACCTTCACCCATTTTGCCCACCCCTCTCCACCTCTTGTTGTTCAGTTACTCAGTCATGTCTGACTCTTTGCAACCCCGTGGATTGCACCTCTGGCAGCCAACAATCCAATCTGTTCTCTGTATCTATGAGTCTGTTTTTTTGTTGTTGTTTGAGTTTTTTTAGATACCACATATGTGGACAGTCTTTTCTGAATGATCTATATTATTAATAGTGCCTTATTGAAAGAAAGAAAGAAAGTTGCCCCTCCTAACCATGTGATTCACCCATCTGCCAGAGGTCCTTACTCTCCTGCCACTCCCATTCATGCCCATCCCACAAAGGAAGGTGGGAACCAACACAAATAGGAGAAGGCACTTACCTGTTATCACTAACAGGTCCTTGGTGAAGGGAAAAGGGCAGTTCTACACTTGTGAGCTTCTGAGCTCTTCACCAACTGTGATATTTACTAATATCTGCTGACTCAAGGTAAGGATGTTAGTGTTTTTTCACAAAATGTAATCCTGTATTATTTTAGCTATAACTTCACTAGCTATTGCTTTCAGGGAAGATGTTGGTAGAAAATGAAACATGATGTCAAGCTAGAAATCATTTCAGCATCATCACTGCCAGAGTACTCTAGATACTTGGCTGACATGCCAAGCAACCAAAACCCTGATGCTGGTTTTCAACTGAGGTGGCTAGATCCCCATCTTCCTTCGCCTTAAAAAGACTGTAACTACAAAGTAGATGGAAATGTGTTATATGGAAATCTTTCTCAGTATGGAGCTTCAGAGAATTTAGTTGTATTTGTTAGTGACTTGATACCTATAGAATTAGAATACAGATGAGAGCACTGGGACCTTATTGGAAGTTGAGTGTTCAGACATTAAAAAATTTTAACCCAAAAGAATGAATAAATGTCAAAACAAATACATAGCATAAAATAACCAAGATAAATAGGAGAATGATCTAGCTGACAATGTTAGCAAACAGGTAAAGACAGACTAAGAAGACAGGAGAAAAAGATGTTTGCAAGACAATTTACTGTTGAGTTTAGAAACAGGCTGATGCTCTTAAATATGTAATTCTTTCTCCTGCTGGGGTAATTATGAGAACTTATTATCCCTAGGAAAAGGCATTCCAGCACCAAATCACCACCCAAAATGATATCCTGCTTCTAGAAAAAAGGAAACTTCTGGAGCAGGTCACAGAACAAGAAACATTGATTAACAGCAACAAGTGGATGATATCTTCTGTCCAGAGCAGGTAGGTGCCTGCCCCAGTGGCCTGTGAGCTCCACAAAGAGGATATTTCTCCCTCCACAAAGAGATCATTCCAGGGGTGGTCCTTTGAGTTTGCAGACTTGTCTCATAACTGTTTCTCTGCCATTCAGGTGTTCTTAGCAGTTCATACAAGTGGCAGAAGTTGTAAAATTAAAGAGAACAGTATCATGGAGAAGGTCAGCTGGGCATTCAGATAGGCTCTTTGATGGCAGGATTGCCTCCCAAGGACCCAGCTGTGTTCATCCTGGTCCATCCCGTTTATGTGTGTTGACACTCATGTTCATGTTTTGGCATCTACGGAATCAAGGTAGACTGAGAGAGAATAAGGCTGGCATCTCAGCTGTACGACTTTCTGGTTTTATCTTTTTACATAAGTTACTTTCCCCATTCTGAGCCTCAGTTTCCTTACCTGCAAAATAAGAATCCATAACAGTATCTATTTCATGGGCTCGTTGTGAGGATTAAAGGAGCCAATACATGAAAAGTTTTAAGTGTTTACTGTATAGATGGGCTTCCCAGGTGGCACTAGTGGTAAAGAACTCATCTGCCAGTGCAGGAGATATAAGAGATGCTGGTTCGATTCCTGGGTCAGGAAGATCCCCTGGAGGAGGGCATGACAACCCACTCCAGTATTCTTGTCTGGAGAATCCCATGGACAGAGGAGCCTGGCGGCTATGGTCCATAGGATCGCAAACAGTTGGACATGACTGAAGCAACTTAGCATGCATGTGCTGTATAGATAGTTCACAGTGCCTACATGCATGGTAAGTACTTGGTAAAGTGGCTACTGCTGCTACTAATGCTGCTGCTGCTACTGTTTTTACTTCAACTACTATTGAAATAAAAACATGGGGTGACTGAGATCAGAACCAGATGCAGGCCGTGTGGCTACAATGTTAGAAGGGATGCAGAGTCCCGCCCCTAAATGCGATCATATCATTTCTTAGGTTTCTCAAGGGCTGGAACTGTGCCTTTCATATTCTTGCATAGAGTGTGTCTCTATTCTCTATTTAATGACTGTGTATAAGCCAGAAGCTTACTCATTTTCACTTGGTTTTGGAATATGGTGGGAATTATTCTGGCAAAGTTGGTTCTAAAATTTGGCAGTGGGCTAAGACCCAGAGCTAGTGGGAAGTGGAAGAGAGTTTTTTGGATGATCCGGAAATGTTAAGTTACGCCTCTGATCTATGCCATCCTTAGAGTACTTGTCCTGGATGAAGAAAATAAGCAGCTACAGAAAAACAGTCTCCAGCTGACACAGGAGGTTGATCTCCTAGAGCATATCATAAAGAGCATCCAGATCCACAGAGGGGAGGTAAGGCTGCTCTCTTCTCTTCCCTTCACCTTCTGCATGAAGCTGTAGCCTGAACTTGGCCTTGGTGGACTATGGAAGAGGTTCACTGGCTGCACACCCAGGGAGCAGGCCTTGAGATAGCTCTTGACCAACTTGCTCATCGGGTCAGCTTTTGTTCGACTGGCTCCTCCAATGTGATCCCAAAGCACTCTGTGTATGCCTCCCAGCTTCTTCCTTAACACACTGTACTGTCATTGCCTTTTCACTTCTCTCTCATCATCTCAGCAGTGACATCCTGGAGGAAAAGGGTTACATCTCATACGTTGCTGTATCTATGAACAGGTGCTCCATATATATTTGAGAATGAAAGGATGTTAAATGTCCTCACACATATGCCTCCTTCTCAGCTACCCTGTTTGCCTTGTATTATTCTATCCCCATCTTGAGAGATGAGCCCATCTGAGGCTCAGAAAGGTAAAGTGAAGCTAGTCTGGTCTGGCAAGGAGTTAAGTTGAAGGAGAACATCTGAGTCAGAGAAATGCAATTATGTTACAAAAGTCCTGGCAGACAAGTAGCCAAGTCCAGAGAGATGCAGCAAATAGTCTACATTCAGATGAGATCCAGGGTCTGGCTGGTGACCGAGTCAGCCAGAGGGACTTCAGTAAGCAGAGCTGAATTCTGAATCCAGGATGGAGCCTACTTGCTTTCTTCCCTGGCTTATATCATCTGCTAGGCCTTTCTTCCCAGGATACTTCACAATAGATCCTGCTTATTGGTTTAGGGTCCATGGAAAGACATGTCTCATCTCCCCTCTGCCATCTTCCTAGCCTTTGTCTTATAAGTCCTGTGGTTCTTAGTCTGTAGCTGAAGGGGTCTTTAGAAAATACATGTAGTCTGAGCAGAGGACTCAGTGCTGCGCAAGAACTTCCTGCAGTCTTTAGGGTAAAACTCCCAGTTTCTGACATGGTCTTTATATGCTCTGTGACCACGTCTCTGGTGTGTTTTGGTCTGTATTTTCCTGAGAAAGAATATTTGGTTTTTAAAGTCATGGAGGACTTCCCTGGTGGCGCAGTGGATAAAATCTGCCTGCCAGTGTAGGGAACACTGCAACTACTGGAGCCTAGAGCCTGTTCTCCACAACAAGAGAAGCCACTGCAGTGAGAAGCCCATTCACTACAATGAAAAGTAGCCCTCGCTTGCCACAACTAGAGAAAGCCCACACGAAAACCAATGAAGACCGAGTGCAGCCAAAAGTAAACAAATAAATAAATGAAAATGTAAAAGATCATGGAGCTCCAAACAGGTAACTTTTTTTACGTTATAAAGGGACAGAAAATGTTTACCAGAGTATTAAGTAAAAGCTTAACTAGGTAAATATATTGGAATGATTACATCAGCTAATATGAGGTTATTAATGTAGAAAAGCAGACATAAAAAACAGGCTAGCAGTTATAGGTAACTTTTTCTGTATTTTCCAAGTCTCCTATAAATGTGTTATCATAATTTCATAATTAAAAAAAATAAAATCAGGCTAGCAGTGAAAAGCACTAATGTAGAAAGTCTGGCATTTATTTATTATTTTTAAAATAATTTTATTTATTGAGGTAACATTGGTTTCTTCCCTTGTGGCTCAGTTGGTGATGAATCTGCCTGCAATGCAGGATATCTAGGTTCAATTCCTCAGTCAGGAAGATCTAGAGAAGGAAATGGCAACCCACTACAGTTTTCTTGCCTGGAGATCCCATGCACAGAGGAGCCTGGCAGGCTACAGTCCATGGGGTCACAAGAGTCAGACATGACTTAGCAACTAAACCTACCTACCCTACCCTAACATTGGTTTATAACATTATATAGGTCTCAGGTATATAACAATTATACCTTGACTTCTGTATACACTACGGCATGCTCACCACCAAAAATGTATAGTTTCTATTCATCACCATAACAGTAGAACACTTCTGCCCATTTCACCCTTACCCACTTTCCCCTCTGGTAACCACTACTCTGTTCTCTGTATCTATCTGTTTATTTTTGTTTGCTTATTATTCCACATATGAGTTAAATGAATTAAGGTAGGTTTAGTCACCAAGTTGTGTTAGACTCTTGAGATTCATGGACTATAGCCTGCCAGGCTTCTCTGTCCATGGGATTCTCCAGGCAAGAAAACTGAAGTGGGTTGCCATTTCCTTCTCCAGGGGATTTTCCTGACGCAGAAGTTGAACCCAGGTCTCCTGCATTGCAGGTAGATTCTTTAACAACTGAGCTGCGAGGGAAGAAACCACATGGTATTTGTCTTTCTCTCTGACTTATTTCACTTAGCATAATACCTTGTTGTTCACCCACATTGTTACAAATGGCAAAATTTCATCTTTATTTATTTATAGTCTTCTTTATCCACCATTCATGCATTGAAGGGCACTTAGGGTGTCTCCATATCTTGACTATTGTTATTAATGCCATAGCTTTTCTCTTTTAAAAAAATTTATTTATTAATATTTATATAGGCTACCCTGGGTCTTCATTGCTGTGCAAGGACTTTCTCTAGTTGCAGTGAGCGGGGGCTGTTCTCTAGGTGTGAGGCACAGACTGCTTACTGCAGTGGCTTCTCTTGTTGAAGAGCAGGGGCTCTAGAGCGTGGGCTTCGGTAGTTGTGGCACATGAGCTCAGTAGCTGTGGCGCACAGGCTTAGTTGCCCCCCAGCATATAGTCTTCCCTGATCAGGGACTGAGTCTGTGTCCTCTGCATTAGCAGGCAGATTCTTAACCACTGGACCACCAAGGAAGTCCACATATACTTTTCAAATTACTGTTGTCATATTCTTCAGAGAAATACCCAGAAGTGGGACTGGAACATGTGGTAGCTTTTAGTTTCTTCAGGAGTCTCCATACTGTTTTCCACGGTGGCTGTACCAATTTACAATCCCACCAACAGTGTATGAGGGTTAGCTTTCCTCCACATCCTTGCCAGCACTTGTTATTTCTTGCCTTTTTGATAACAACCATTTTAATGGGCATGAGGTAATATCTCATTGTGGTTTTGATTTGCATTTCCCTAGTAATTAAGTGTTGTTCAACATCTTTTCATGTGCCTGTTGGCCATCTACATGTCTTCCTGGGGAAAAATGTTTCTTTAGCTCTTCTGCCCATTTTTTAACTCCAGTTGTTTGGTTTTTTGTTGTTAAAAGTATGAGATGTAGAATTGTCAAATATTCCATAGATATTAGGGATTATATCCCCCAAATTTTTATGATATAAATTACATATAACATTTAAGTTGAAAGTATACAATATAATGATTTATTATATGTATTTATTACAAAATGATCACCACTGTAAGATGAGTTAACATGCATCATCTCATATAGGTACAATTTTTTTTTCCTCATGATGAGAACTTTTAAGTTCTACTCTCTTAGCAACTGTCAATATATACAATGCAGTGCTGTTAAGTAGTCATCATGTTTTACATTACATCCCAAGAACTTATTTCTCTTACAAGAGAAAGTTCATACCACTGATCACATTCACCTAATTCCCCCATCCCTGACAACCATAAATCTGGTCTCTATTTCAAGAAGGTTAGTTTTGTTTTTTTTTAAACTCCAAGTATATGTAAGATCATACAGTATTTGTCTTTCTCTCTGACTTATTTTACTCAGCACGATGACCTCAAAGTCCATTCATGTTGTCACAGATTGCAGGATTTCCTTATTTAAAATTTTTCATTTTGCTGAATAGTATCATATTGTACACATATTCTTTATCCATGTGTCCATCATGGACACCTAAGTTGTCCATATTTTGGCTATTGTAAATAAAGCTCCTCTAAACATGTAATATAGATATCTCTTTGGGACAGTGATTTCACTTCTGCCAGGTACATACCTAGAAGTAAGACAGCTGGATAATATGGTAGATCTCTTTTTAATTTTTTTAGGAACCTCCATATGTCTTCTACAGTGGCTGTACCAATTTACATTCCCATGAACAGTGCAGAAGTTTTCCCTTTTTTCCATATCTTCTCCAGCATTTGTTATCTCTTGTTTTTTTGGTGATAGTTAGTCTAATAGGTATGAGGTGAGGGTATTACACTTTTAACCAAAAATATGTATAAAAAAATACATATCACCAATGGTCTATGATTATAATTTAATACTCATCCTTTCTTTTAAGGAAACAACAGTTTGTGACATCCGTGAATCTGAAGTATTGAATAAAATCATGTACTTACCAAACTCCAGGTTAGTAAAATCAAAACCATCATTTGCATGCCTGAGAGTCATGGCTGCCTAGCTAGTTCTAGTTGCTGGCCTGAGAAAGCATAGTATTTAGAGGTAATTTTCTCTATATTTAGTATCTAAATCTTCTTGTAACTCCTCCTTCCCTTGCTACCACTTCACCTTCACACTTGACAGAATCCTGACTTAAGGTAGAAAAGAATCCATGTTATGTGGTCCTCACATAAGGCCCTTCTTAGTTTTTCAGGAATGGGTTCAGTAGAGTCCGCTGGAAGTCTTCAAGAGACTGAAGAACAGAGGTTAGAAGAAACAGTGGCAGACCCCAAGTCCCTCAAGTCCCTTTCCTGTTCACAGAATTCTGAAGCTGGATACATAAACATGGCTTCTGTGAAAGAAACACATCTCATTCAAAAATAAAACGAAGTCAGATCTAGAAAATCATCAGTGTCTAATAGACTGATCAAAGCTGCTAACCTGAAGCTTGGGTGTGCAGGTGGAACATGACATGGAGAAGAGTTTGGGCAGGTCCTCACTGGACATCAACCAGGAATCTTCAAAATTGTTGACAAATTCATTAAACCTGTTCTACAAATGGATTTCTCAAGTTTTTTTTGGTATCCTCTAATGCCTTGTATTGATCTATGTCATGACATAAATTTAGTGGTTTAATAAGGTTGTTGTTCAGCAGAGCACATATACAGCTAATTCAGCATTCTATCTATTCTTATTATCATGGGTATTATTTTTTAATTTAAAAGAAAAAATAATGTAATCACCTTAAAGCAAATATTTGAGAAAGAAAAAAACCTATAAAGCCCACATTTTTGACACAACTACTTTCATTTATCCTTTCCTGGTTCTTATTCAAATGTACATATTTTAAATGATTATACTATATATTCATTTTCAGTCTGATTTTAAATTTAATATGTCATAAAACATTTCCCCATATTTCATCAGTCTTCATAATTATTCTTTTAGTAACCATATGGTATCCTATCATGTTGTCCTACAAACTGGTCTGTAGTTTGACATTTATTTCTACTTTTTTACTATTTTAAGATTATTGCTGTGATGAAAGTCTTTGTAAATGTAGCTCTTTTCTTGAGTTATCCAGAAAACACATTTACGAGATGGGCATGATTGGGTTAAAGGATATAAATGATATATAGTTTTGATACATCACTTGCTAAATTGTTTTAAAAAGACTGTGTCAACATATTCTTTCTATAGTTTAACTCTTTAAGCCTCAATTTCTTGATCCATAAAATGGGAGCAATAGTAGTTCTATCCTAGAGTTGTGAGGACCAAATGAAATAAACCATGTATGCAGCACTTAGTAACAGCTTAATAAACACTTAGACATCATTATTTATTTTCAATAGCAGTTTGGGTGTACTAGTTTTTCTGTAACCTCATCAACGTAAGATATTATCAATATAAAAAATTATTCTAAATAGTTGGTATAAAACTATACTGAAGGATGATTTCTGCTGCTCCTTCTCCTCTTTCTTCTATACCTTCAATTGGAAGTAGAGGGAAACCAAATGGAGAGAGAAAGTAACCAGAAGTTATTTTAAAAGACCCCTTAAGTTGAGATCAAATTGCCAACATCCAATGGATCATCGAAAAAGCAAGAGAGTTCCAGAAAAACATCTATTTCTGCTTTATTGACTATGCCAAAGCCTTTGACTGTGTGGATCACAATAAACTGGAAATTTCTGAAAGAGATGGGAATACCAGACCACCTGACCTGCCTCTTGAGAAACCTGTATGCAGGTCAAGAAGCAACAGTTCTGGACATGGAACAACAGACTGGTTCCAAACAGGAAAAGGAGTACGTCAAGGCTGTATATTGTCACCCTGCTTATTTAACTTACATGCAGAGTACATCATGAGAAATGCTGGGCTGGAGGAAGCACAAGCTGGAATCAAGATTGCCAGGAGAAATATCAATAACCTCAGATATGCAGATGACACCACCCTTATGGAAGAAAGTGAATAAGAACTAAAAAGCCTCTTGATGAAAGTGAAAGAGGAGAGTGAAAAAGTTGGCTTAAAGCTCAACATTCAGAAAACTAAGATCATGGCATCCGGTCCCATCACTTCATGGCAAATAGATGGGGAAACAGTGGCTGACTTTTTTGGGGGGGGCTCCAAAATCACTGCAGATGGTGATTGCAGCCATGAAATTAAAAGATGCTTACTCCTTGGAAAGAAAGTTATGACCAACCTAGACAGCATATTGAAAAGCAGAGACATTACTTTGTCAACAAAGGTCTGTCTAGTCAAGGCTATGGTTTTTCCAGTGGTCATGTATGGATGTGAGAGTTGGACTATAAAGAAAGCTGAGCACCAAAGAACTGATGCTTTTGAACTGTGGTATTGGAGAAGACTCTTGAGAGTGCCTTGGACTACAAGGAGATCCAACCAGTCCATCCTAAAGGAGATCAGTCCTGGGTGTTCATTGGTAGGACGGATGCTGACGCTGAAACTCCCAATACTTTTGCCACCTGATGCGAAGAGCTGACTCATTTGAAAAGACCCTGATGCTGGGAAAGATTGAGGGCATGAGAAGAAGGGGACGACAGAGGATGAGATGGGTGGATGGCATCACCAACTCAATGGACATGGGTCTGGGTGAACTCTGGGAGTTGGTGATGGACAGGGAGGCCTGGCATGCTGCGGTTCATGGGGTTGCAAAGAGTCGAACATAACTGAACTGAACTAAGTTGAGACACACTGAATTTTTATATGTAAGCTTTGCTTCCTCAGACCAAAAGGGTGGTCATAGGATATAGGAAATAATAGCTATGATATTAGATCCAAGCCTTACCCAACTCATTCAAGTCATTGAATCTATTTATTGAATAGTGGGCACACCTGTGAAGACAGACGCGGAAAGTGTCATTTTTTGTTGACAAACCCAAGTCCCTGTGCCTACAGAACAGTGAGAACAAACAAATAGAAAAATTAGAATTTGGAGGAGAGAAAGTTTTATTGCATGGGCCATGCAAGAACAGGTGGTTCCTGCTGGAAAGACCCAAACTTTCCATGAGTTTTCAGGGAATAGTTTTTAAAGGCATCATTTGGGGGTGATGACTGTAGAGTGTATGACTTTCTTCTGACTGGATGGTGGTGAGGTAACAGGGTGACGTTCCAGGAATCTCAATCATTAACCTGGCTTCCCACCAGTCTGGCTTCTCAAAAGGTACTTACCATCCTCCACCTGGGTGAGGGCTTTAGTTCCTGCAGCACTCAAAGATCTGTATCAGATTATTACATATATCCCATGAGGAGGGACTGAGGCTCTGTTTTATCACTGAAATACATTTTTTTTACATTTAATTGTAGTTGATTAACAGTGTTGTTAGTTTCAGGTGTACAGCAAAGTCAACTAAAATTTTATTTATTTATTGCTGTGCGGCAGACAGGATCATAGTTCTCTGACCAGAGATCAAACCCATGCATGTGCTGGAAGCACAGTCTTAACCACTGGCCCACCAGGGAAGTCCCTGAACTATAATTCTGTGACTGCTTTTCCTTTGTTTTTGCTTTCCCTCATGTCCTTCATTAGGAACTGTTTGGATCTCCTCTTTGGAACAAGGTCCAGAAGGCTCAAGTCTTTCTACAAACAAGGAATCAGGTACAGAAGAAAGGGTTTTATACACAGTAGTGTCCTGCAAGGGCCTGCTGTCTCAATCCATTTTTCTTTGGTACTCCACAACCTTGAGGGAAACAGGTGGACAAGAAAGGGAACGTTTTAGATAGGTTATTCATAAGCTTTGCAAAGGAACCTGGTTTTTACGAAGGACCCAGTTTGATTTTCATGGAGTTAAAACAAGTGTGAAGCAGCTGGTGAGGTGGGGAAACCATATAATTTTGGATGCTGAATGGCATGAAGACAATCAATAATCTGTCCAAAAGAGTGGCAGAGGGCTACTTTAGATTGGGTGCAATGTTCCTGACTGAAAACCTGAGCTGAGACTTGACCTACAAGGCCACTCCCCACCCTCATGAAGACCTAGAAGAATATTAAAGTCAGTTAACAGGCCCTAAATAGAATTCGAGTCTCCATGACCTACAGGAACAGGCTAGAGTCCCAGGTAGGTGGCCAGATAATGTAATGTAGGTCTTTTATGTAAGGAACTGGATTTTATTCTAAATAAGGGAAACCATGAGTGATCTATAAGCAGATTCATTTAAAAGCTCTAGCTGCTCTGCAGTAAGTGACTTGGAGATGATGAAAGCGGAAGCTTGTGGGAAAACTGGAATTAAAAGTCTAGTGCCTGACTTCAAGAAAGTGCTGAACTTACTGAACAAGCCTTATATGCCAGGTTGTTTTAAGCTCTGAATATAAACACGGTTTTTGCTTCCATGGGCCTCCAGACTAGTGAAAAGGGGTAAGAAGCCGCACATACGATGGTTCAGATAGGTCTTGGTTGCAAAGGCTGATAAGGATCCTGAAGGGCCTAGTCCAAGGCCCGTAGCCTGAGCGAGAATAATCTGTACTGCACTTACTGTATCCAAGTGAATGGGATGCCCGTGGGCCTCGAGCAAAAAAAGGCCGAGGACTTCCTCCCAACTCAGCGCTCAAGGAGACTCAGGTGAGGTAACACTAGTTGTCAAAACAGAAGGAAGCCCCGGCCACCCTCGCAGCACCCAGTTTAGCGTCGAAGGCGGAGAGCTTCCGGGGGCTGGGCCGGCCGCCCCCGCCTCTTCCTGCGCCTGCGCCTGTGCCGGAAATAAACACCTCCCGGCCGAGCAGGGGCATAGAATCGCCGGAACCCCGCGCTCCCGACTTTTGCTTCCGGGTCAGAGGCATGGCGGTGGCAAATTCAAGCCCTGTCAATCCCGTGGTATTCTTTGATGTCAGCATTGGCGGCCAGGTGAGGTCTTGGCAGCCAGCCAGCCCGATGCCAAAGGGAACGTGCACGCGGTCTGGCAGGCAGATCTCACCTCCTCAGGTGTAGCAAACTCGGGGAGCCAAAAAGTGAAATTGAACCAGCATCTACCGATCTGCGGGGCCGGGGTGAGGGAGGAGGAAGAGGAGGAGTCTTGCGCAGCCTAGCGCCGCGCTGGTGGAGGGACCGGTTGGAAAGGAAGAGTAGGCTATGGAGGCGGAGGTGGGACAGACCAAGCGGCATGGGGGCCCGAGGGTTCCCCGTTCGGTGAGGCCTTCACGGGCTTGGACTGGGCTTTCTGAACGTCTCTCGCCGGTTGCAGGAAGTTGGTCGTATGAAGATTGAGCTCTTTGCAGACGTTGTGCCTAAGACGGCGGAGAATTTTAGGTAAGGAGATGTTCCAGCTTTGCAGGATAAACCAAACGAGAAAGCTGGGCCTGTCTGTGGAATCTTCTGCCTACCTCTATCCGTTCATTCACCGTCCTTGAGATCTGACTTCTCTGGGTATCGCTCTGAATAGTCTTGACTGTTCCCTTTTCAGTTTATGTTGTTAATCTGTATGCCTGGACGTCTGACCCGCCGATTGGTGGGCTGGCTAGAGCCGACGTCTCCCCTTCCCGCCGAGGTTAGGGGCGCTCAGAGTTGTGATGCCATGGCGACTGAATCGTTCACTCTTTTTCTTTTCAGGCAGTTCTGCACAGGAGAATTCAGGTCAGTCTCAGACGTGGTTGATTTGTCTGCTTGCTCCTGAGGGGTGTCCTGAGTATGCAGTGAGGGTATTGGGGAATCACCGGCAGGCCTTGAATATTGCTGGGGACAGTAATAGAAGGTATTACTATGGGTCTGTACTCAGTTCATTTGCCTTCTTCGTCTCTCCTCCCGACCGTCTTTAGAAGAGTATCTCTGGCTCGACTGTGTGGTAAGCTTGAAAGGCCGTGTTTACCTGTTGTCATTTCAAGTCTCTTTCTTTTTGCTTATAGAAAAGATGGGGTTCCGATAGGATACAAGGGGAGCACCTTCCACAGGTAAGGCTTTTGGCAAGCCATCCTGGG